AATAATATATCATTTTGTTCATTGGTTTGTTAAACATATATTAATTCAATTGAAAAACTCCTTGGAAAAATGTTTTTTTCATGCATAAAGATGAAAATATCCTTAGTTGGAACATCACTATATTGTAATTATTTATACTGGCTTTTTCTGTCAAAAATGTCCGGGGTCGGTCAGGGGGTACTTGGCTGAGAAAATGTTTCAAAGGGGGTACATTACTGAAAAAAGTTTGAGAAGCACTGATCTAGAGAATTGGAACGGCTCTTATCATGGCTGCCACTGAGGGACTTCCCGGTAATTTCACTCCGTTAGGAAGGTTCCTAAGCTAAATGGACTATTCGACTTCAGCCGAGGTTTCAAACTTCATTTATAACCTCCTTTAGCTTAGGAACCACTCGACCTCCCTCACCGAAAGGAGAGGAGAAAATGCTGCCCCACAATGCCTTGCAGCCGCAGCATTTGTCGTCACACAACGGTCGGACGTTCACGGAAACAAACGATTATGACAGAGAAATGATATCATGAAAGTTACGGTGCTTATTACGCATTTTAAAACGTATGTGGTAAGTTGCCAAAGTGCTTTGTTTTGAACGTTCATCAGTATTATAATCAAAAAGAGAAATATGAACGTTAGTTTTTACTGAAATGATCAAATAAAGTCAACATCTCACAGTCTTTACTGAGCTGTGTGGGGTTTGTTCAACTTTTAAAAGATGTTTGAATGGTGATATACACAGTGACAGATGTTAAGGACTAACGTTTATAATAAATACATCTGTATTGATTTTAAGATATTGTCATAGTTCATACAATCATACGTATTGGGATCATTTGTATTAATGTGGACCGGAGAATCCGTGTATCTACCGTCCAATTGTTTTTCTTTATTAAACACGTAAACGGAAGAGCGTCTGAGAGGCGTTTTTGCTTTTTGCTTTTTACCTTACTAAATGGTCAAATGGTCATTGGAATGAGGGGCGGGGCGAAACTCACGGAAGTGATTTCAAAGCAAAAGCACTCGTTTGTTAAAATCACACTTTGAATCACTACAGTATCCTGCTGAAGGACCGGTGATTATTATAAACAAGGGGAATTTAGCGATCACAACGAAAACGGCCAAGACACATATTGAGCCCAGAAAATGGATAGATAGATACAAAATATAATGTTACCATTAGTTCTTAATGAAATTGATACTGTTTGACTTTGTATTAGTTAGCCTACTACTTACAATACGTTGAAGTACTTTTACTGTGTATTTTTTGAGAAATACTCTGTCAAAGTCCCCTGCTGAGAACAAAATCAAGCCACTTCTGCTAAATTTGATGAGGGAATTATTTTTTATTTCCATTAGTTCTTCGTGAGGTTGATCCTGTTGGACTCAGTACTACTGAAACTACCCCCACAAGTACTATGAAGTACTTACTGTGTACTTTTCCAACAATCCTCTGTCAATGTTCCCTCCTGAGAACAAGAATGCATGTTTCTCTGCTATTTTGAATAAGCGTTAAAAAAACCTTTCTTCATGAGACTGATATTGTTGGACAGAGTATTTTAAGAGGATGGTAGACTGCACACTGACCCACTCTGTCACTCTTGTTGGCCTCTTATGATGCTGCTGTCTTTTAATATATGATTATTTCTCAGCCGCTAATTCGTCACAGATTCTTCAGTCTCATCAGCCTCATCCTTCCATCAGTCCCAGCACACTTCCAGTGTCTGACTCCAATGATATTGTCCTGATGCTGTAAGGGTGATGCCCCATGATCACACAGTGCCAAGGACCTCATATTATGTCTGTCATTAATGTTACATCACCCATTATAACAATTTGCTTTCCTTTTTCTCTTCTCTTAACTGAATAGCCCTGTCTTTAAGTATAATACAATGTAAAGTCCTTTTCCTGCACCATTTTAAGGCTTCAAAACAGGCATTGTCACTGTATGTGTTTGGAGAAATGACACAATCAATGGCCCAGAATTGTACTTTATAAACTCTGAATCTTGTGGTGCTTGAAGAAATACAGACTGCTAAGCCGGCCAGGTTATATGCCTTTTTTGCAATATTTATTAAAATGTCAGTAGTTATTTAAACAAATCACTATCTGAGGATAATACAAGCAACCATAAAACACCCGTTACTAGAGCCATTGAAGCCCATGAAGAATGTATCCTTTCACAAATATTTTCAACGTAAGTTAAAATTTAAAATATTCTTCATTTGCAGTATTTTTTTTAAAAAAGTGTTCAGAAAGACTGCATCAATTATATATATATATATATATATATATATATATAATATCAATATTTTTATTAACTAACCAAAGTCAATTTAAATAGCGGGCAAAAAATTGGTTAATTGCCATGCATGTGGTGTTTGATATAGTTTTACGCTCAATTTCAACTATTTTAGGCAGAAAAACGTATATTGACGAAACCTTTAATAATTTACTATAATTTAGAAAGGTTTTTGTGAGAAATCATTTCAAAAGTAAACTTATTTTTCATTTAAATTTGAAATGTTTGCCCACAACATTATTAATTTATACATTTTTATCAATTTTTTTAAATGATGAATTCATTTATTTTAATGTATTTCCTTGAGGCTGGGGAAGATATCCAGCATGTAGTTCAACATGCAAATGTTCTAATGCAAGTAAGTATAAGTATAACATGGAAAAGTAAATAAAATACGTTTCATAGGAGGATGTGGATTTATTTTCAATCTATAATTTAGCTCTGGCCTTCACTCACAAAAAAACATTTTGTTGAATTGGACACATTTTTCGAAGGTCTATTGATTGACATGCAATGACTGGGACTGAAGGAAGAACCTGCGATGAATGAACTAGGAGCAGAGAAATAATTGTAGTGGCTATTTGTCAACAACACCAACGTTTCAAAAGGCCACTGAGGCACCAGTTAGCAGATGTTACGCAGATCAGGAGCCGGTAATTAATCCATTGTCCAGACAAGGCATCAACGTTTTCGTGGTATTTATTAGTTTCACCTTGCGGGAACAATACAGCAAAAGATGTTTAAATGTTTGCTGAAACTCAGCCCTGACACTGGTAAAAAAAAACATATACCTTCCCGGTGCCCACTGCCTGCTGCTGTGCCCTGATTGCCTTAAATAAACCCAGCTGTGTGCCCAAAGTGACCCATCACCTTCAAAATAAAAGCATTTCAGCTGGAACACAACTTAACTTAAATAATATGGCTGTAAATCAATTAATTCTACAAAACAAAATAATAACAAATAAATACATTAAATAAATGTGAAAATACTGAATAGCTTCCACAATAATCATATATTAAAAGACAGCAGCATCATAAGAGGCCAACAAGAGTGACAGGGTGTGTCAGTGTGCTGAAGGATAGACCAGCTATCCAGGCCAGACTCTAAAGACTTTCCAAGGTGTAAAATGCTGCTGCCGGAGTACTGACTGGAAGTATTGCTGATATCATGTCCACCATCCTCTTAAAATACTCTGTCCAACAATATCAGTCTCAGGAAGAAAGTTTTTTTGAACGCTTATTCAAAATAGCAGAGAAACATGCATTATTGTACTCAGGAGGGGACATTGACAGAGGAGTACTGGAACAGTACACAGTAAGTACTTCATAGTACTTGTGGGGGTAGTTTCACTAGTACTGAGTCCAACAGGATCAACCTCACGAAGAACTAATTGCAACACAAAATAATTCCCTCATCAAACTTAGCAGAAGTGGCTTGATTTTGTTCTCAGCAGGGGACTTTGACAGAGTATTTCTCAAAAAATACACAGTAAAAGTACTTCAATGTATTGTAAGTAGTAGGCTAACAAAAAGAAAGTCAAACAGTATCAATCCCATTAAGAACTAATGGTAACATTATATTCTTATCATTCATCAAAGATAGCAGAAAAACATGCATTATGTAGGCTACTAAGGAGGGGACTCTGACAGAGGATTACTCACAAAGTAGGCTACACAGTAAAAGTACTTTATTTCTGGTAGAAGTCAAACTAGAACCGAGTCCAACAGTGTCAGTTTCCTTAAGAACTTGTGGTAAAACATATTTGTATCACTCGTCAAATATAGCAGGAATGAAAAGCAGCTGATTTGAAAAAACTCGAGAGGCGGCGGAGTTGACCGCAGTGCAGAATCGCTGTAGCCTATAGTTTAAATCTCCTAACAACGTTGTCCATTTTAGACAGAGGCTTATTATATTTACAGCCCTTAATAACATCCATTTTCTGGGCTCAATATGTGTCTTGGCCGTTTTCGTTGTGATCGCTAAATTCACCTTGTTTCCCTTTGTTTATAATATTATCACCGCTTTTGTTTTGAAATCACTTCCGTGAGTTTCGCCCCGCCCCTCGCTCCAATGACCATTAGACCATTTAGTAAGGTAAAAAGCAAAAAGGCCTCTCAAACGCTCTTCCGTTTACGTGTGTAATAAAGAAAAACAATTGGACGTTTCACTCAGATTATCCGACAGCAGCCCTAGTCAAATTCCTCGTACGTGTGAACCTACCTGGCCACACACACACACACACACACACACACACACACACACACACACACACACACACACACACACACACACACACACACACACACACACACACACACACCACACACACACACACACACACACACACACACCACACACACACACACACACACACCACACACACACACACACACACACACACACACACACACACACCACACACACACACACACACACACACACACACACACACACACACACACACACACACACACACACACACACACACACACACACACACACACACACACACACACACACACACACACAGCTCTCCATTTGGTCTGCGCTGGGCAGTTACCGGTTATGTTAGAAACCAGGAAATGTCACCTTGGACTCTAGAAAATATATTTATTTTTTTATAACCAATTGTTTTATACATACAGTTTAACAGTGTAAATTATTAATGCCTTGAACACGCAGCAGAGCCTGTTGTTAACACTCACCCTGTTTTCTTCCTCCTGCTCTGTCGAAGTATATAATGGAGTCTGGGAGTCTGGCAGTCTGACTTCACATTTTCACTTTCAACGTCTGCAGCTCCTCCCTCTCTTCAACCAGCCCTATCAGCTGTGTCACTACCCGATCTGCAGTGCGCATGTGCGAGATGGTCCGCCATATTGGACAACTCCGGACGGCAACCCAAGATGGACTTTTGACACAGTGGCTTTTAGCAAAGCTCAAAAATAAAACGAGAGAGAGAGATGAGTTATTGTTATTATAACGTGACTTCACTATTATTTAACAACTCTTTTTATGGGGTTCTTTTATTTGGGGTTAAGTACATTGTCAGAATAAGTGAGAAATGAATTCAACTTCTGTTAGACAGCTATCATACTGAATACATATTTACTGTGAATGTGTGCAAAAATGTATGGCATATAGCTGTCTAACAGAAGTTAAATCCATTTCTCACTTATTCTGACAATGTACTTAACCCCAAATAAAAGAACCCAATAAAAAGGGTTGTTAAATAATAGTGAAGTCACGTTGTAATAACAATAACTCATCTCTCTCTCGAGTTTTCCTTTTGAGCTTTGCCAAAAGCCACTGTGTCAATGTTGTCCTACTTGGGTTGCCGTCCGGCGTTGTCCAATATGGCGGACCATCTCGCACATGCGCACTGCAGATCGGGCAGAGCTGCAGATCGGGTAGTGACAAGCTGAACAGGAACACATAGATATAGGGATTATTTTCAGTAAAATAGAAATATACATGCAGCTAAAAACAAGCAGAACATAGTTATTTAATAAAAACCCAGTACAAGTAAACATCCTGTATTTAAAACCTCACTAAAGTTAAAGTGTGCAGGTGTATTGCTGCATTTATTGAGTTTACTGCTCTAAATGTTTTAACTCCTTAATATACTGTTGTTTAGATTAATCTGCAGCAAGGTTGTATTGAGTAATTAGCCTTTAGCTTGCGAGAAAATAGCTAGCAAAAAAAGAATGTCCGTGTAACATGCCTTCAATCAATGAAAACAACTTCAAGACCGGGACTATTTTATATGTTTTAATATGTCATCGCCACTGTCAGGTTAAGAGGCCATGGAAAGTTCTACACAACCTCTCTGAAATGTACCGACAAAAATAGTTACCGTTTGAAACTTGAATGTTAAATAAGAGTATGAATTCTTGTGAAATATTTATACATATTTAGTTAATGATAATCCTCTAATGCAGTGGTTCTCAACTGGTCACGCCTCGGGACCCACTTTTTTCCTTTGTCAATAAATCACGACCTGACATTTTGAACCACTGAAATCTATTCAACAAAAATTTGTGCTGTAATATATACGCTTTTCAGCATACGATATTAATTAAAACGGTCAGATTTGACCCGAACACAACAGGAGGGTTAAAAAAGGAAACACACAAGTCATCTGTTGCACACAAATTAGGTTTTTTTAGGGACTAATCTTTAATATTTTTCTCGTGAAATACTGGATAATTATACTTCTTTGGACCCCTTAAATATCAAAATAAACTCTTTGGTTGAAATGGTTAAGTGTTAGACATATATATCATGTTTGTAATTATATATGCCTTATTTTAAAGGGTTACAAGCCAACAATATTTGGAACCAGTGATCAGTAGGATGTTATGTCGGTATTTGGTTTTATGGACAGAATCATTATATGCAAAAAACAAAAAAGAACTTATAGAATATTGCCAGAAAAAGTATATATATATTGTGAATGACATTGCTGCTCAGCGGCTCAAACTAAGGCGGTAAAATAGACTTCTTTACATCACAAACACATCCTTTATGCTCACATTTTAAACATCTTTTTCACAGGTATAGTTAAAAGGGTTATCACTGTTTAGCTCGCTGTAATAATTAGCTTTATGGTTGCATTCGCTGGTATCCTCCAAAGATGGCCGACATGATGTTGATGCTGTCACATTCCCAATTGTTGTGAAACTAAGGCAGTAAAAATCATTTGTTGGTCTTGATATGCCACACCTGTTATTTTGTGTATATAGAAAATGTTTTAGATCTTTGAGTTCATCTCATGAAAAATGGGAGCAAAAACAAAAGTGTTGCATTTATATTTTTGTTCAGTGTATATTAGATATGTTCTTGCCATTTTCCCTCCCTTTTTTCATAGCAGTAGTATAATCTAAAAATAGGATTAATTTCCTTGTCTAACCTTATGCCAACAATACTGCAATAAACTCTACAGTGAAGACTGACAAATGATGTGATTTCTGATTTCCAAGCTGATCTGCAATCTGTGAAAATCTGTATGATCACACATATTCCTTTAGGATGCTGTTTCCCACTCCCAAATAACAGAATAAGACACGTTCTACAATGGAGTAGTATATGTTGAACTGTTTCGTTTATAACAGTGTGTGCATTCACCAGTTGGGTGGGTTAGCAGATGGTCATCTTTGGTAGACACTCTCCTTTCTTATTCATTTGGGATTTGAACAGTAAGTAAGGGATAATGTGCCGCGAGGCTGTCATGGGGAAAAGAACACCCGACAGGCTCATTGGGGATCTTGACCAATTGACCAATCAGAATCGAGTATTCAACTAAGCCATGTAATAATTGGTAATAAATTCAGGTCCAATTCCCCCAATTTCTGTTTCAAAGTCATATTTAAAACAAAAACAAAACGGTTGCAACGGATCACTATATAGTATGCAAGGTGTTTGCAACATCTATTCAGTTGTACTATTTCCTTAACATGTGCATTTTCAATGAAACAATCCAAACTTGCTTAACACATAGTTTGCACATGCTAGTGTGTCTGTGAAATGGTGGAACTGTTGACAACCAGCAGATGGTCTAAAAGTCTCTGTGAGCAGTAATATTAGATGCAGTTCGTATTGTGAACGCCAGGGGTCATTATCACTATGTGAGTGGATCATTTTGATATGGAAGAAGCTTCACCAGTCAGAGCAGTTTCCTCTGAAAGAAGTTGCTGTTTGGCAGACCTCAACTTTAAAGTTCAGTTTGCTGGCATATAATTATAGTGATTTATTCCATTCATGGCAATGATTATAAAACTAAATATGTTCACTTTCTCTTTTTGTGTAGCCGATGATGGAAAGGAGCAGGGAGAAGCATGCATTAATGGTTGAGCTTCAACTCCCTGAAAGGAAACTAGTTTCCCCACCTGAGTAAGGAATGAGAAAACAATTGGAAATATGTTGCGGTACTCTCGTCATGGTTCAAAGGCTTTGTTAAGGACATTTACATACCTCTCCGACCCCTTTTGTGTTGATGGATTAACATGCAGTTGGACATGTTGAAATGTCATGGGTGGAAAGTTAAACTTTTCAAAGTCTCTCCCCTTTTCTAACTCTCTGAGCAGAGCTATCATTAAACAATTGTACGTGCGCACTTTAGTTTTCCCTTAAGCCCCGCCTTCGATCTCCGCTTCTAGTTGTTTTTTTCCACTCATGGCAATTATTTCAAGACCAAACATGAAAAGATAAGCAGTTTGTTAGTCCATGATGGAAAGGAGCAGGGAGAAGAAATTCTTATTTTACCCCTTTCTCAGAAATCAATGGTCTGTCAATCACAGCTGCTTACAACCAATACTAACAGTAACATGAAACCAAAAACACAATCAATAGTCAACATCAGAGGTTACCTGACAGCTTCATACTGTTTAGTTATTCTTTCTATATACATTTTCTTAAACCCAAATATGTTCATACAGGCCTTTTAAATAAGACGAATGGAGAGGGAGAATAACTCTGGATGCGGCTTTTAGGGCATTTAACATATTTAAACCCCTCATGATTCAAATAAGGGCTATACAAGTGTTATTACTGGATAGTGTATTTAGCTGGAAAAAGTACACCCTGATTTACGGACTTTAAGTCGATGGGAACAAGTATTTGTGTGCGCAATGACGTCACAGACTGACACGGACGTTGTAGTACCCACGTTTGGCCGCAAAACATGTGAAAACTAGTAGTATTTCAATTGACAGAAAATGTGTTGCCAAATAATAAGATTATCAACATATTGTCTTGAAATTTAAAAAAGTGTGCTTATTCTGGCTCCTCTGATAAAGGCTTTGTGTGAGGGCTCATCTGACATGGAGGGAATGTGTAAAGTTTAAAGTTGAACATTTCTAAATTATGACAAAAGGATGCCTATTTAAACTTCAACATGTAGATGACACAACTAATTTAAGTTATATTTCACATTGATATAAAATGCATTACCAATAATTTGTCTATTGGTTCAATTTTTCTGAAAATATCCTAAATGTCGTATTGTAGCTCCTCTAATGAGTTCAGATTCTCAGTTTGATGTCATTGTATTCTCTCTATATATGTAGGTGTCAGATTGTTGACCAAACACAACAGACAGTTGAAAACGTCCCCTAAGACTCCTCAAAAAATCATTAAAGATCAAGGATGTAGTACAATATTTCAGAAAATAATAGCAGTTTAATCAATAATAGAACATTGTTGCTGGTATCAGGCTGAATTGCAGGGTAATGGAAAGGTACTGCATTTATGAATCAGAGAAACACAGTTTGGTAATATTCTGAAATGAAAATGACCATGACTCAGGTACTTGGTTTTTTCCATATGGACACTTGATTGACAAGTGTGAACACTCTTGCCTAAGGTCTTTGGCTAATGAGGATTATGCTACAGAACAAAATAATTGTTTGGGTGCATGTGGCCCCTGAAGTAAAATCAGTTCGACCCCCCTGTTCTTAACACAACATTGAAAATGTTTGAATATGTTTAAAGATTGGCAATTTCAACAAAATGCAAAAAACTGAGAAACAGAAGTTTCAAACCCTCTTCAAATAAAACCAAAACCCTTTTTGTTTGGGTTTACCTTGCTTTACCCAAACACTGTGATCAAATAGGAGAAAGGAAACCTATAGCTCTAACTAGTTACACAACTAAAGCGTCATCCTTTCAGTGGAAGCCAAACAGCAGCTGGCTGCCGACCACACCTCCTCCACCTGCTGCTCAATAAAAGAAGCATGCTTCCCCTCACTGTCTGAGTATTTATAGAAAAACTGAAAAAAGATTACAACTGTTTTTTTGTTTCTATCATCAGAGTGCTATAATAGGTCTGAACTAAATAGCTCTTTGAGGAACTGACATTCATTTGTACTGACATGGATTTCCTACAGCAAGGTAGGATACATTTTAATGCCACTCTATTTACACATTAAGTGAAGATGTGAACTAGACGTGATGACAGTAAAGTGTATTGTTGCAGCTCTTCTGTTTGAATGTGACCTGGATATGATAAGGCATTCATGTAAAGTGTATATCATATGTTAATTCAAATTAAGCGTGAGAATTGAAGCTACATTTTAATTAGAGAAACAAAACATAGGGGGAAATAAGGTAATGTAATCAATCATAAAAAACGTATAGTGGCATCCTTAATGACAGGCTAGAAAGAGCTACAGCATTTAGTGTAACACTGTGTGCTGATCTGCAAACAAGGCAACAGCTATACTGTATCTGAGATGTCCACTTTGTTTCATGCCATTCCTTGAATGATATAACAGACAAATAAAGAACCATCTTCTAAACAGCAACAATACTGGACATTAGTGTGATGATTATGATTACAATTACAATCTCTCATATCTAAGTATATGAGGTTTAATGCCAACGACCTGTAATTTAACCAATTTGGTCCTAAGGACACATTTCACTAACCAAAAAGCATTAAAGCAAACATACCCTTACATTGGGGGTTAGCAGGCAAGCTGTCAGGCCATTTGAATAGAAAATGTAGGTGATTTGATGACACAGAGACGCTTACAGGGGTAGACATTAAGGGTAAAATGCCCTTTAGACAGAGGCCGGGCCGGTGGAATTGTATTATCACTGGCCCCACCATTGTACTAACCACTGGCCCAGAGCGTTCGTCCACCAAAAAGAAAATCGACTAATAATGAAGAAAATGATCACATTGTTGCAGTAGTAATTTATGCTACATTACTACTTGTACTACAACATTTGAATCATTAGTTCTTCCTCATTTTCCTCAATTGTTCATATTTGGTTTATTAAAATAATGATATTGTGGTCATTGTTAAAACATTTCTGCTATTATTATTTGTATAATGCACTTTCTGCCTTCCTGTCATTAGGAGTTAGAAATGTAATGGCTATAGATTAGATTAGAACCTTCATTATCCTAAACTGCTGGGACATTTCCCTAAAGCCAATACCTTTATATTGTCTACTCTTCACTTACTTGTCAGCATAGGTCGGCATTGATGTACAGAGCCGACAGAAGACCTTGTTTATATTGGCATCATATTGAGAGGTGCAGCCAGTGACGCATCCTAAAACCAGGAAGTAAGCTGCTGGTTCCCTCGACAGAAAGCAATGGGATTTCTCCACAGGGTTTTGGAAAATAGCTGGAAATAAGGTCTGTGGAAAACAAACCTGTTTGATAAATGGGTCATTCTACAGAAAAGGTGGAATCTGGGTGATACAAATCTGCTGAAATATATTCCTTCTAAAAACATCTAAAACCTGTTAAATAGCAATAACTAACTCTTATCTTGATGAATCCACAACAAGTAGAGCTTAAAGTATTTTTATTTTTTAAATAATTTGTATACTTTATACAAAGCTTATTTGTATAGGAACGTCACTGGTGTTACGTGTTACCAGGAAGAAGAGTAACACCAGTGACGCTAACACCAGTGACAATTTGGAGAAAACACTACCATTTTAACAAAATGGCTGCCATGTGTCAGACCAAATATGGCTTCAGTCAATATCAAAATCGTTTAACTATTCAATACAATACATTTTCCCATTCAAATGTTCACCCCTAGGGCTATGCAATGAGTAACACTAATGACAGACTTGAAAGACGCATGTAAAATTTGAAGATAAAATGACACCTTTAACAAATAAAGTAAGAAGTATCTGACTTTCCATGTCTTTGCCCACTTTTCCTCAAATGATCTCTTGGTACAGGAGGCACTTCAGAGACAGTACATTTTTTCAAAAATAAAAGCGTTTTGTGTAGCAGTAACACCAATGACGTAATTTTGGGTGACTGACATTTATTTGATATTATTAATAATAATTTGCGTTTTTTTTTTTTACCATTTCAGTGTTATATGTAATGCTTGTAATGTTATGTAAATATAAATTAGATTTATTTATTGAAAACAAATCTTTTAAATTAAAACTATAGGCTCCACTTCCAAGGCAGTTCCTTGAACTTGGCATTTTAAATAAATTGCAATTTACGTATAAAACCATTTTTTATTTATTTGTTATTTAGTACCATTGCAAAGACAATCTCTATTTATTCAACATATATAATGAATGTAAGTATTAGGTCAACGTCATGTATTTTGGTGTCTGCAAAAGTAAGTGACACTTCCACCTTTTCTGTAGAATGTCCCAAATGCACGTTTTGTTCAGCCGGATAATCTCCACATGTCTACCTTACTTTTATCATTTTGGAATCATAAATCTAATCGATAGATTATAAAAGGGTTTTAGGACGCGTCACTGCACCACTAGAAGCCAACTCCATCGATCAAGCTGGCTGAAACTTTCACTCCCTCTTCTTCTCATGCTCCCTGTCACTCTCCTTTAACTCCTCCGGTGACTTTCTTTTATTTGAAGATTTTTTTTTGCCCGGCTACCGCTGGTATTAAAAACATTTTGCGAATGGTTAGGTGGCGCGATAGTCTGTAGTGAAGGAGCACGGTCCCGCTCACGGGAGCCTGCTCGCGCTGCGCTCCTCAGCAAACAGCTGTTTGCTTTTCCTCCAACAACGACAACCGACTCACGGAACGCTTTGTTGTAGCGCTGATAAACGAAACAATTTAACTAAATTGCTAGTCAAAATACCACAGGACTTTTTTTTTAAAGCAATATGTTTAGTGGCCCGAGCGGGCAAGTGGAAAGTACGTTATGCTGGCCCGGGGTGTCTAAATAGTGCTTCCGGGCCAGCGGGCCATTTATAATGTCGAGCCCTGGCTTATATGCTGCCTGCTTGTGATAGACACTAGTGAATATATTGCAAGGTGTGCAAAACTAAAAGCGCAAGATATGAAAATGACTTTGTGAGCTTCATCTCAGAACAACTCTTTAAACGAAGGAGAAGTCGGTCCTTTACTTGCTACTAGCTCCTCAATGTGTAAAAACGCCCTGTCAAATGTAAGGCCAAACGTTCTAGATATAAGCATGCTTGCACTTAAAACAAGTACATTTGGCTGCCAGTGCAGTAAGCAAATTTCACTTGATAAGATGTCTTAAAACAAGTCAGGCTGTCCGACTATCATTATAGCACATGCAATCTTAAAATAAGATTAAAAAGACTCATTTCAAGCAATCTAGTTAAGCCTGTTTAATGCAAAAGAAGCCTAATATCACTCAAAACTAGGGCATCAAATTACTTAAAATGAGATTTAGGGAGGCGTGTGGCGCAGTGGGTAGTGCGTTGGTGTTAGGGGAGCATAGGTTCAAACCCCACTGCAGTCAGCATGTCGTTGTGTCCCTGAAGACACCACAGTATTGAGTATGTAAGTCGCTTTGGATAAAAGCGATAACAAGTTACATGTAATGAAATTCTTGTTTTTAGGGAGATAAATTAGAACACATGCTCTTAAAATAAGTAAACATGACAATTCTTTCAAAAAACACGTTTTTATTAAGTCAGTCCATAACAAACAGGATCATTTATTAAATGAACAAAGCTCTTCAACATATATACATCCTCATAGAACTGACAAACATTGGACACAGAATTCAAGTTCTCTACTTTTTTGTGAATTCTGCCCATTCAGCTATTGCTTTTTTGTACGAATGAGTAAGGTCACGCTCGTGAATACTGTCCTTCAGTACCTCAGTCTGGATGACGGATAGGAGAGTAGCAACACATTTGGGGTAGGTGAGGTGGAAGGTGTAAAAACACCCCATCAGGATGAGTGGAGCCTCGTGCATCATTTCCCTAGGTAGGGTCATCAGTGGGATTTTGCCAACAGCCAGGAGGAGGTTAGTAGAGTCTAGGATGACTGGACTGGTGATGGGCCGTCTCTGGAGAAACGTATTGGGGTCCTCGGATGGCTGAGAGCAACAAAGTAGAGACAAAAAGTAGAAACAAATTAAACCTCAGGGCATATCAAGTTTTATTTCAGTTGAACTGATACTGACTCAGACTCACCTCAAGAACATGGAACAGTGCCTCACTTGCTGACCCAAGCTTTTTGGGTGGGGCAGTTGGGGAAGGAAACATTGAGGGAAGTGCCTTCATCAAAGCAATCGCTTGTCCAGCTGAAAAACAATATGGAGACATGATCAAATGCATTGTGCTTGTTTTTGTTAGGCAATTTGACTTTGACATTAAGTTAGGGCTGTGCGATTATGGCAAAAATCATAATCACGATTATTTGGTCAATAATTGATATCACGATTATTTTGACAATTATTCATTGACCATTTATTGAACTTTAAAACAAATAATATTTTACCAATAAACAAGAACAAATATGTTGGAGCGCACTTCCAAAACAATACTAAACATATATTATTAATATGATAAATAAAAATAAATTAGACCAAAATAAATGAAATCAAATATGTTGCAGTGCACTGTCACAACCTACTGAAAACTACTTAACATATAGCCAACATGTTGGTTCAACATATTCAACATATTCCACTCAGGCTGGCCAACCGTCATGGTCCAGAAGTAACAGGAAATAAATGTTGAACTACAATTTAAGACCAAATAAAAAAATGTAGGCCACCATGGCAAATGCTGGTAGGGCTGCTCGTGTCATCTCTTAAAGATTGTTCGCAAGAAACACCAGCCTGTTTACATGGTCTGGTTTCAGAGATGAGCGCAGGCAGGTGACGATATTGCCACCTGTACTGAAGACCCTCAGCCACGCCCCGACACATGGGGTGACGCCGGCCAATCACAAAGCTTTGATGCGTTCAAGTGCATTATTTTGGCACAGGAAGATTATGTTACAGGACATAAACGATAAAACAGAATATTGTTGTTCTATTTTTAGACACATCTCGCGATCGACTGGTTGGGCACCCCTGGGCTAGACCATAGGTCTGTTGTGGTCGCAAAGTAGTCAGCTGAAGCCACATCTCTCTCAACTTCCCCACGGCATTTGTCACATAGTGCAGGCAGCGCAGACCTGCTGAAATAATACCGAGACGGCATCGCGTAACGCTTGTCCAACGTGTTGACAAGTTGCTTAAAGCCCTGGTTGCTAACAGTGCTAACTGGGCACATATCTTTAGCGATGTGAAATGTAATGGCAAAGTACTTGCAAATAGTGGAAATAGTTTTACCCTTCTTTTTAACTAGTTGCTGCTCTTGTTCTGACATCTTCGCTCGCGCTGAACACTCACAACACATGTCACTCCCACGTGGCCGAGTGGGCTTTTAGGGAGGGGCGAAAGCGCACCCAGCAAAATAATCGTATTTTGTCAATTATGCTGTTTTCATAATCGTCGCAAGCCATAATCGTAATCGCGATTAAAATACGATTAATTGCACAGCCCTACATTAAGTGTTGTGTAACTGAAAAGTAAGCACACAAGCAAACAAATAGTTCTGTGCAGAGCCCAAGGGAGTATAAGATAATCATGCAAAAACTATGCTGTTGGTGAACGACAGTGTATGCGTATCCCTGAAGCGACATGAATCTTAATGTCACCTTGGGAAACCTCAAGTAGCACTTGAAATGTTTGGCTCTATGAAACCTGATGTACTTATATGATTCTGTTTTCTTCAAGGTTGTGTCTTCCTGGTCGAATGTACTTATTGTAAGTCGCTTTGGATAAAAGCGTCAGCTAAATGCAATGTAATGTAATGTAAACTGGTGCTACTTTTTTTTCAAAATTGGCCTGAATGTTGGCTAAGACAGTTGGATCACCAAAATCAAACGGTTCTCCTAGGGATATTGAATGTGCACAGCGAAATGAAAGAGTGATTGCAGATCAGCAAACTGAAAGTTTGGCTGGATAGTGGGGGGGCAGCGCGGGGTGAATTTATAATATCCCTGACACTTTCACTGCAGGGGATATAAAAAGCACTTGTCAGTTGCACAAGGGAAAGCAAAACAATAAGGGTCACCATACATGGCATAAGGTAGTAGTGTTTAAACCCTCTAGTGACCACTACTACCTTATAACTACCATTTTGCCATAATTCAGTCATCAAAAAGGAGATCCTGTCCTATCAAAACAATGAAAATAAGCTAATACAATCACATCCCATGCGGCCATGAAATGGTCACCCCCAACCTATAAAACATCAGTGTTATCTATACATTATGCTTACATGTATCCAGACCCATTGGTGGCTTCAACGACTTGTTCCACACTCCAAAGAACAGCGCATTTCCGCAAAAGCTTTCCCATCTGGCTTTGATCTGGTCAGTGAAGTTCTTGTTGCCTGCCTCTAGAATTCGGCCCATCTCGTCCAAAACCTGAGTGTAAAAATCAATAGAACTTTGATACAGAGAAAACAGCAAACTGATGTTAGATGTCTAAATAATTAACAAGAGATATACGGTTACCGCTGGTATTAAAAACATGTTGGCGAATGGTTAGGTGGCGCGATAGTCTGTAGTGAAGGAGCGCGGTCCCGCTCACGGGAGCCTGCTCGCGCTGCGCTCCGCAGCAAACAGCCGTTTGCTTTTCCTCCAACAACGACAACCGACTCACGGAACGCTTTGTTGTAGCGCTGATAAACGAAACAATTTATCTAAATTGCTAGTCAAAATACCACAGGACATTTTTTTTAAAGCAATATGTTTAGTGGCCCGAGCGGGCAAGTGGAAAGTACGTTATGCTGGCCCGGGGTGTCTAAATAGTGCTTCCGGGCCAGCGGGCCATTTATAATGTCGAGCCCTGTAACTGCTAGCTTTTAACAGATACAATTACTGAATACCAAAAGAAAACGTATGATATTAACGTCGGCTAATTTTGTGTTCCTTACAGACAGTTTATTTATCTGAGAGTAGTTAACGTTAGCTAGCTTAATTTTTACATACCCCATTAGTGAGGTTAAGGTTAGCTAGCAACACGTGCTTCGTAGTTAGCTAGCTATCTTAGCTAATTCAGCTAACAGTTAACCAATGAATGTACTAATACTTAATAAATTGAAAGCACTAATATGTTACATATGCCTATTGACTTTTATTCCTACGTTCAGTTACTAACGTTACCTTAACTGCACTTCTTGGTCGCTGTCCTGCCTCTCTGGTGAAGGTGAACTGACCAACGTGTTATTTATACATTCCGCTGGCGCTTGGCTTGGCGTTCAGGTGATCCTCGTGAAATAGGTAATTCCCCGTTTTCCATCATTTGGACACAAACAGCCATCCACTTGTAAACACTGAGGACTGAGGAGGATCTCTCGATGTAAATAATATAGTACTGGCATTCGTTGTTTACATCTTTTAGTGGATATTGTCATTGATCCAGCTTCTGACAAACACATGGTAAATAAAGTCACTAATTTTCCGACTCTATGAGAGATACAAACACCACATGGATGCACATTCCAGGTTTTTCTTCTTTCAGGGCCAATGAGAAGCAGAGTAGGGGCGGGTCTTCGCATAATTAAATAATGCAGCAAGCGCCAAATTCGCACGCACCTCTGAGAGCAATCGTTATAGTCGTCCACATCTGATGAAGTGTGTGAAAATCAAAGTCAAAGATATTGTGATATTTTTTGTTTGTTATCCATATCGCTCAGCCATACTTGGTGTGTTAAGCTGTTCATGTTTAAATGTGTAATGTGGCATGGATTGTTTGAACAAGTTTGGTGTGATAAATGAAAAGCACCACAACCTCAGAAATTAAGATATTGTTCTTTGTCCAGTATTGCTTATAGATCAGTGATTCTCGAACTTTTTTCATTAATGTACCCCCTTTGAAAAAAAAATTCAGCCATGTACCCCCTGGTCAGCGCAAAAACAATTTGTTAGGGAAGAAATGCCTATATAAAGAGGTACAGTACAGTGCTGCACCATCGGTGTCTGATTTATTAAAACAACAACAGTAACTGAGAAACACTTAAATGCTACATTTCAAATGTTTACAATCCATCACTAAATTCATGGCAAACCAATTTTAACATCATGCAATAACACTAAGACGACATTAGTTGCATTGAACTGATCTTTTTAATAAGTTGTACTTACAATGTAGTGAAACATGGGCTTGTGCTTCACTGAGGATCTTTGTCATGCTGACAGGAAGGCCACTGCAGTTATTACACTTCGCGTTTTGAAATATGTGTAACTCTGTTAATATAAACCCACTCTGCTCAAACTTCCTTACTTTTCCTAAAATTGGTATTTATTTATTTTTTCAATTAACATAAAAATAAATCTCACGTACCCCCTGCAGTACTCCAACGTACCCATAGGGGTCCGCGCACCCCCATTTGAGAACCACTGCCATAGATAATAAGAGACCAGATAACAGGGGAAAGAGACGTTGCTTGAAGGAAGAGGGAGGGGGTACTGAGTAGCTGGCAGCCCCTCCCAACAGTGTCCTCACTGCTCAGGGACCCCCACCGTGTTACCAGTTCCAGGGCAGTAACAGAGTAGAGATTGCACACCTACCTCAAGAGTCAATGTCATGCATATCAGTTATTCTGGTCCATATCCTTTAGGAGAGTGTGTTATGATGATTATCAGTTCATTTTTTGATTATCATTAAAAGAGATGTTAATTCTTGTTTGAATTGTGTCTTTACCAGCTGGGAAAATAACTTATGTTAACCACAGAGCTGATGCTTGAAATTCATTTTTTTCTTCTTGCCATACTAGTGCTTAAAATAAGGCTTCTAGCCTTGAAGTGGATGTTTTATAGACAGGTCCCTTGTTTCTAGTTAAACATAACTAAAATAAAGACAAAGTTGCTTATCAAGACAAGGCAAGTAACATTTACTTGAATTAAGTCAAAAATCTTCCATAGAAAGCACTAGATAAGCCATTTAAACTCAAATCAAGACAAACTAGATTTAGAATCTAAATTTAAGATTATTACACTTGGTTAGATCTGCAGTTTTTGCAGTGGTACGTTTATTTCAACTGTGATTAAACGTTACGTGTTTTGTACTTTCAGACATAATAAGTGCTACTGGCAAGGAGAAGCAGCAGGCCTCGGCAGCAGTGAGAGACAATGGACAGACACCTGCTGACTTCAGCAGTATCTACAGCAAAGGTGAGAGAGAAAGCCGTTTTCGGACCGCCTGATAGTCAAGACCAGGGTCTTCGGTCACTGATGGTCAGCATGTCCAAGGCTCCGTGAGGGGTATACAAATGCATCTTTACAAACCCCAATCAATCAATCAATCAATCAATCAGTGTGTTTCCATAGAGTGAACTACAAAAAACATGCTTGCGCACTTTCAGAAAAGTAGAGACTGGCACTGAATCACAGATAAATCATTAACGATAAGTAGGCATGCCGAAAAATATAACCGATTTTAACTGACAGCTATTTATCACTTCTGATAGCTAAATGCTTATGCAAACATGTGCCATTTCTCCAGGTGAGGCAACGTTCATTTGAAAGAGAAATACTGTATATGTATATGTGTGTGTGTGTGTGTGTGTGTGTGTGTGTGTGTGTGTGTGTGTGTGTGTGTGTGTGTGTGTGTCAGTGTGTTTGGTTAGTCCTTGAACTAGATTATCAGATTGTTGGTCCCCATCGAGAATAAAAACAAGTCTGTCTGTGCGCATGTGAAAGGTTGGTCCCTGCAAGTGATGATCAGAGTTGTGTCTCCAGTGAGATTAAAAACCAGTATGTGTGTGTGTGTGTGTGTGTGTGTGTGTGTGTGTGTGTGTGTGTGTGTGTGTGTGTGTGTGTGTGTGTGTGTGTGTGTGTTTGGTGCACAGATCTGCTCCCAGCTGCAGGAGGCGAGGAGATGACCAGAGGGTTCCTGCAGGAGCTGGTTCACATCCTGTTGACCTACATCAGCAAGTCCAGTCAGAGGAGCTCCAAGGTGCTCACCGGCTTCAAACAGCGATATGGTGTTCAGCGGGGTTACTGTAGAATCCTGAACAGTATCTTAACCCTTTGTACGATGACGTTCAAACAGAACCATTCTATTGGCTGGAAAGGGAAAATAAACAAATCGGTGCAGATGCATAGTAATGGTTTTAAGGGAATTTAATGATTAGAAAACACTTTCCTATGGTTTCAGTAAACACTGCTGATACACATGGAAATCAAATAAAGACTAAAGAGGGAAAAATGAATGGAAAAAGCTAAAGATTAAGACATTGCACATGTGCATTCCATGTTGTCCCAAAAGCGTATTTTCTTTAACAGAGTTGGATATGAAAATCCAAAGCGTAATAGTGACAGATTTTGGATATGGGCCTGAATAGTCACGGAAATGTGGTTTCAATGTTAAAAAAAAGGTTTGTTAAATGTTCATTCAAATGAATAAGCATGAGACACAGGCAATTAAACAAATATTTCTCTTTGTGTTTTAGGTCCTTGACTTCCACCACCCTCACCAGCTGAGGGAGGGGCTGGACGGCTTCAGCCTGGAGCTGCCCGACCAACCAGAGAATCTGGAGCAGATCCTGGAGGACTGTAGAGACACTCTCAAGTATGGTGTCCATACAGGTGTGTGTGTGTGTGTGTGTGGGTGTGTGTGTGGGTGGGTGTGTGTGTGTGTGAAAGGTTGGTTCCTCACAAGTATTGATCAGCTCTTGGTCCCCAATGCAAATAAAAGCGAGTATGTGTGTGCGCACATAACAAATGTTTTCTTAACCTTGTTATAGTTTCATTCATGACTAATAACAGCATATTTTTTTAAAGAAAGTATAACAATAATCTGTTTAGTGTTTACCCACTACTACATTTTCCCTGTAAACAAGCATTATTATTATTCACAGTTATATGTATTGCTCCAGTCATCAAGGTAGTGGTACAAGGAAGTGAAAGGTTTTCAATTTGTTTCATTTAAGTGCGTTACATGTACATTAGACATGACAACTACAAATATTGTGTTTGCATAACTTACAGTTAAAACAACACACAAACTCGAACTAGACAATTAAACTTATTTCACAACACTTTTAAACAGCAACGTGTACTGGCAATAAGACTTTCATTGTGCGTCATTTCATCCCTTCCTCTTCAAGTCTGCGTGTGAACACATTTACATTTGGCAGCACTCAAAGAGATTACATTATGATATGTGGAAATCAGCTTGTGCTTTCTTGGTCTCAAACTGAGAAATGAATTGTGGGTTATTCATCTTGTACAAACATGCCTTATTCAGGATATTAGTCACCTGAGGCACTGCCCTACACAAGTGGCTTTGTTTCTTCATATATATTTACTTATATAGCTTTGCTCTAACAAACTCTCTTGTGCAATATTGTGCAATGCTTTTGAGTAAATGTTTATATTAGGGCTGTCAGTCGATTCAAATAGTTAATCGCGATTAATCGCAAATTAATCGCACATTTTTGATCTGTTCTAAATGTACCTTAGAGGAATATTTTTCAAGTTTTTAATACTCTTATCAACATATAAGTGGACAAATATGCTTTATGCTAATGTTTATTATCATTTGAACAATGACAAATATTATCATGAATATTAAACACAACAACCTCAGAACATTACAAATACTTTTCGTTAATGCGTTATTAACGCGTTAACTTGACAGCCCTAGTTTAAATAAATCCAAAATGGACATGCAGTTGCAGGGTAGCTTGTGAATTTACTCCAAATGTCACTAAAGTCTTATTTAAGTGTTGAATATAATTGAAATTGTTAATACAAATGTGCAAATTACCTACATTTATAAAATGCAATGTAGTGGTAGAAGTACAGTACTTGAGTAAATGTACTTAGTTAGTTTACATCACTGCTTAAACTTCAAATCTCTGTGAAATGACTGTGCGAGCAGTAAGGGCCTGATTGGTCACATTTGACTTTTTGTTTTATCTTTATTGTTATACTTTAAAGTGGACCTATTACGCTATATTGGAAAACATACTGCTCATACCCAGTGGCGTTTTTATATGTACAAAAGTGGTGGGGCACAAAAAACGTCTATATATAAGCTTCTGCAGTGAGGTTCATGGCTGATGAGGCACTGGCACTGACGGCCCGTCCACACAGCGGCGTGCGTTGACGCTTGCCGGCGGGCGTGTCTGACACTCGACCAACAACCAATCACATGAATCTCCCGCCCCTGACACACAAGCAGCGGTTTGATTGGCTAGAGCTTGTACTGGCATATGATTCGATTGGCTGACGCTTCTGCCGAGGCGTCAAAAGTTGAACATTGCTTAACTTTTGAAGCGAGCAACGCCAGCAACGCTCCGCGTCGCTTCCCTAGGGTAGACATGTGGATATTATCCGGCTGAACAAAACATGCATTTATCAAACAGGTTTGTTTCCCACAGATCTTATTTGGAGCTGTTTTCTAAAATCCTATGGAGAAATCTCATTGCTTTTTTGTCGAGGGAAGCCATGCGGGTTTTAGGATGCGTCACTGCAGCTCTCTCGTCTCCTCTACACACACCACACTTTTCGCGGCACACGTACTTACAGCCAATCAGCTCTGAATGATGTGAGATGACGTATGGTGGGGATGGCAGCTCAATGCCACTATGGTCATTATTTTTTTCTCACACACATTAAATAGGACAATACTCTGAGCATGCGCAGTGTAGTTTTTACAGTCACCGTTCACTTAGACAGTGTGAGGGAGGGGCAGGATCGGGTTTTGTCCCACATGGCTCTAAACAGCTCAATAGGCACTCACTGTAGAAACTAATTAGAAGAACACAGACTAAAACAGCAATGTACAGACGAATCAGATGATTAAACATGATCTTATAATATATTTTATATATTTGTTTGCATTTTTTTGTAATCATTATTTTTAATACTTTCTGCTGACACTAGGTGGGGCTGTGCCCCTAATGACCAGTCCCCACTGCTCATACCCCTCTTTTGCAGCCCTGTTAGAGAAACGCGGATTTTGGGTCCTTAGCTTGAAAAAAAAAAAAAGAGGAGGCGGAGCTAATGCCTGATCAGAATTCTACCGGAGATAAAGTTAAATTCTGCTGTGATAAAACGCCAACCTGTTCTAAACCACATCAAGGATTATTACTGGAACAGTATGTAGCTCAAATGCTTTTTCTCTTGCTGGTTTATCACAAGGCGAGTTCCTTTTTATTTCCTGCTTTTTAAACACACGTGCTCTCCAGTACAGGTTAGCTCTGAGTGTTAGCGAGGCTTGCTAATGTAAACAAAGACGAGATTACGTCCAAAACACGTCCGGCATTGTTTCTGATAGCAACTTTCTGTGGGTCCGCCGCCGATTTGACGTCATATCGGCAGCAAATCTGTATCCGCTCGTTGGACCCCCGTTTTTAGAGATTTGGGTACGGAGGAAAAGAGAAAGGGTTTTATTTTCTGACGCTGCGTGAGTTCCCGACACACCGGGGACACATATTTATGTATAAAAGACATCACAAAGTGCATTTTGCATGATCATTCTCGTATTACTTTTTGTTCAGGTCATCCCCGTTTCTTCAACCAGCTGTCTTCAGGTCTGGATGTGATTGGTGTGGCAGGAGAGTGGTTAACCTCGGCAGCCAACACCAACATGTAAGATCTCAACAATAAAAGGACTCTACCTTACGCACTTGTGTTTTACTTTAGAATTGTATGTTTACTTCTTCTTATCGAATTCAGGTATTTATACTTATTAGATGTATTATGTCAACAGATTAGATTAGGTTAGTTGAAAGCAATAATATTAAGTTCAAACTAAAATATTAGGTTCAACTTAATATTATTGTTTTCGACTAACCTAATACAGTTATGTGAAATATGTTGACATACAGTAATACACTTAATTAAAGTCAATGGTTCAGTTTTTTCAGTGTACAGTTTATTAAATAAAATCCATATTCTTAGAGTCTAGTTGGGTCCTCATAGCATGGTGCAGGATTTCTAAAACCTAAAAAAAAACATTTAAAATCAAAATGTTGGATTTCTTTTTGATATTTCCTCAAATGTAATAGTGGGGTTGGATTTCATCCAGACTGTCATTGTTAAAGGGAAAGCTTTTAATGAAAAAAATAAAGAGCCACGTGTAAGTCAGTGTCTCATGTGACTGCTGGCCATTAAAGGAGGCACGAGTCCTGAAACCCGGAAATTAATTAGCATTTTTATATTTTCAGTAGAGGTAAACATTGTTGTGGTTAATAACTGCTGAAAAGATCTTCACGTTTATTTCTACAACATAAAATATGTCAGTAAATACCCCACTGGCTAATGTCTGAAGCTTGAATTTGTGACTCAATGATCTAAACGTCATTACGCCGAACGTTAGCCACCTTTCATATCTTAGACTTTGCACTGTAACTTTTATCCATGTACTATTTCTTTTAATGTTTATTTGATTAGCTTTTCTTTTTAATGACTGATTTTAAATGCCATTTTCTTAATGTCTTTCATTTTTTGTAAAGCACTTTGAATAGCCTTGTGTTGAAAAGTGCTATATAAATAAACTTGCCTTGCCTTGCCTTGCCTTGCCTTGCCTTGCCTTGCCTTGCCTTGCCTTGCCTTGCTTTGCCTTGCCTTGCCTTGCCTTGCCTTGCCTTGCCTTGCCTTGCCTTGCCTTGCCTTGCCTTGCCTTGCCTTGCCTTGCCTTGCCTTGCCTTGCCTTGCCTTGCCTTGCCTTGCCTTGCCTTGCCTTGCCTTTAGTTTAGCGGTGGTGATGTACAGACATGTGACCGTGGTGAGGTTCCTTTATAGAAACAAATGTTTGCAAGAACCCAGTTATAAAACGAATCTTTTGTCTTTACAGTATAATACAACTCAATGTTTTTCTTTTCCAGGTTCACATATGAGGTGTCTCCTGTTTTCATCCTCATGGAGGAGTTTCTGCTGAAGAAGATGCAAAGCATTGTGGGATGGTCTGCGGATGAGGGAGATGGAATCTTCTGTCCAGGTAATGGATGCAGGAATGAATGGATGGATTGGAACTTATTTTGAGAAACATTTGAAAGATTTAGGTGTGATGCTGAACATATCAAGAAACAAAAAGTTTAAGGTATGATGTCACATTTATTTTTGCTTCAGCAGTCAGGAGCAAAGGGTAGTCAGTATGTCACCCGTAAAGCAGGTTATAGAAAGTTACTTTTTAAATGAAATTATGATTTATATTTTTACAAACAGTTAAGCAATCGGGCAGATGTCAGATATTTACTGCAGGACATATGTTGGACACATAAAGCGCTTTCACACCGGAGCACTTTTCCCAGGAATAGTTCCGATAGTTCTTGGGATTTTGGTTTCACACCAAAAAAGATCTGGAACTAGAACCTAGTTTGCGCAAACCTTTTCACCCCTTTTCAGTCCCTGCTAGAGAGCAGGGGCTTTCCTGATCGGCTGGGCGAATTGCAAACCACGCCCCGTAAAACTCAGAAAGGTTTTGTGAAGCCGCCATTTTATTTGCTCGCATTAGCATTATTAGCATTAGCCCAGCGCACAAAGGGAGAGAGACTAACTTATGGCAACACAAAAAAACATGGGAGCGGTGGAGATGAGGAGGTGTCGGCGCTTCTGGCGATTTACTCGGAAGACGCTAACCAGCAGCTTCTACTGAAGCCAGTCCCCAACTCCAGGGACTCCGGATGGCAGTATACGCCGTGAAGTTGTTTGCGGCCTGCCAGTAAACCCAGAAGAAGAAGAAGTGATGTCAGCGGCTTCATTTGCGTAATCCTCCCTCAGGGACTTATTCCAGTGTGAACGCAATTTACTAGGACAGTTCCAGGGACTAAAGAGTTCGGCGGGACTAAGTACTGGGAACTAAGTACGGCAAAGTACTTGGTGTGAAAGCAGCTATAGACTGTATATGGTTGGACACTGTAACAGTAGAGGAGCCCGGGGGAATTGCACTACCTAACTAACTTTTAAATAACTTTGTTTAATAACAGCAACAAAATGAAACAGTATGAAGTGATTTGTAAATATAAATACAAATCTGACTAAAGGTTTTCATGAATACCTCTTTTATTGTGAAATTGACATGTGACCTATTTTTACCCTTTAACCAAAATCAAGAACCGATAAGAACAGAAATCGATAAGCAGAACAGAAATTGGAACCGGTATCGTTAAAATCCAAACGATACCCAACCCTACACATTAAGTATTATTCTCAGCTTGAGGTGTCCAAAAGTCATTTTCCTTACAGTGCACTAAATCGTATGATGGTATTGGGATACAACAGACAGTCTCTCAAATCAAGACACATTTTGAAGTACTTTATAAAGAATGGTTTTAGTAAAAGCGTCACAAATAAAACTGAATTGTACCTTAGAGAGCTGTCTTTACCTACTAAGTCATTATATCCACATTACTGATGATTATAACATCTCACTATGTTCATTTTTTAGGGTAAGGGTTAGAATATAAAAGCACCTATAGCCAATCATCACAATGTCAATATTGAGATATTTGGTTGTGTCTTCAGAAGTCCAGGAAAAGTTTACTTTATTTCAATAACAGAAGTTTATACATTAACACAGTTACCATTATTCTTAGTATATAAAGTCATTTTTCATTACATGCATTCAAATATGTGTCCTGCCTTTACAGTGCAACACAAAAATACAGACTCAGGTTTTGAGTGTAGTTGCTTTTTAAACTGTGCATTGTGTTTCCTGAAGGAGGAACAATATCCAACCTGTACAGCATCCTGGTGGCCAGATACCACTTCTACCCCGAGGTGAAGACCAGAGGCATGGGAGCCCTGCCCCGGCTGGCCCTCTTCACCTCAGAACATGTAAACACACCACACTCACTGTCACACACACTCACACTCTGTAGGACGGGGTTGTTTGAGTTCAGAAGTTATTGTCAGAGCCAAATTATAAGTCAGTTTGAGGTTTCACAGGGTCACACAGAAAATAACTTCATCAAAGTTCAAATGAAAACTGTTTTCTTTTAAACAACGAGAGAACACAAGCGTATGTTTATCTCCGGAGTGTCAGTCTCCAACTTCACTCGTGCCTTCCCTTTGTCGATGTTATATACTTTATCATCTTGAAATGTAACCAGAGGGGGTACTCTTACTCCAGTAAAAGTAGCAATACTACAGTGTAAGTACTACCAAAAGTAAATAAATACATATATATTTTAAACATGTTAATATAATTATTAATGCATTAATGTGTTCATAATTTCAATGTTTCACTTTGTAAAAGAGGGGATTATTTGAATTACTTTATATACAATACTAACCTATAATAATAAATTACAATGAATTATCTGATTTATATTTTTTAAGTAACTAAATATTTGCATACCAAATGTAGTGGAGTAGCCCAATGTGAAAATACTCAAGTAAAGTACAAGTACCTCAACTTTTTACTTAAGTACTGTACTTGAGTAAATGTATTTAGTTACATTACACCACTGGATTTAACTAAATATGGTCGATGTGACTGAGCATGTCTGCACGAGCCGACAAGGTGGATGCATGTGATGCGTTCAGGTCCTCAGGATTTCTCACTCTTCAGCCTCAGATAGCCCCTACACTGTATACAGCATCTCAGTGTCCTGAATCTGACCCTACATACACATCCTAGCTTTAGCCAGGGCAGGAACAACTGTACATCTTAAAATGACACTTAGTTTTTTACTGAATACATTTGATAATACACCATTATTTTATAAAACAGAGAACTTCTTCCATAGTGGATTGTAAAGCTGTGAACAAATGCAATGTCCGTCTGATCCACCGTGGAGCGATGAGATATGAACTAAGGTTTCTTTTAAGTTTGAGAATGTTTCCGATGGCATTGGCAGACCTTTTACGACCAAGGTACGTTTTAAACGTTTGTTTTTTAGTTCTAATTGAAACTGAAAAACAAACGGTTAAAACGTACCTTGGTCTTTTACAAAATGTATTTGTGGACAACAATGACCATTAACAATTCATTAAATCACATTTTCAATTCATCTGTGCTGTTTTCTCTTTTCCGCATGTCTAAAAACGACTGTTTTGTTGAGTTGTGCACAAAAGTTGAGATATCCTTACATTTAATAGAGGTAAAGGTCAATTCCATTTGGTCTTTTGTAATGTTTTTTTTGGGTCTTTGAGCGCGGTCAAAGAGATCTCAAGTTATCAGTGACATGAGCTCAGCAAACTCGAAATGAGACCGATTGTCTTTGAAAATGTAATAGGCTTTTCTGCGCAGGAAAGGACCCGAACATTACAGAGTCACGGGTCTGAAAGTCTGAATGAAGTGTGTTGAAACACCTGCGTCCTTGAGACGGCCAACTAAGTGCAAAAACAACTCCCTATCTGGTAATACTGAGCCACACAGTTAATCGTAAGTTAAACATAGCGTTGTATTATGTGGGAAAGGGGGACTCAGTACTTTCCCACTCTCATGTGACTTGAATACGCCAAACACATCGAATGGACATTTCTATTACAGTTACATCTAATATTAAAATGTCCATCACACTCGCAGACCCAGATTCCATCAATATATGAATTATTGTAGGGAATTCCCCAGCCAGTCTATTTAGCAGTGAGCATGCCACTTCCTAATAGTCAGTTTCTCACACAAAGACACATACTTTTGTTCTTTAAGGCTGATGAAAAGCATTATAAAGAATGGTTTTAGTGAAAATAAAACGTAATTGTACCTTTACCTACGACGTCATTGTATCCACATTTTTAGAATACAAAAAGCACCTATAGCCAACCCTAATACAGTGGTGTAAAATAACTAAGTACAGATACTCAGGTACTTGCTTGTGTACACATTTTGAGGTACTTGAACTTTTTGTTTTATACTACTTTATACTACTCATTTTGGAACTAAATATTGTACATTTTACTCCACTATATTTATTTTTATTTACCAGTTACTTTATAAATTCAGATTTGACACATAATTCTCAGGAAAAACTTTTTTAAAGTGATTATTTTATATAGATTAAACCATCCAACATTAAGTTACTTAAAGGTGGGGTAGGTAAGTTTGAGAAACCGGCTCGAGATACTTTTAGTTATATTCCATGGAATGCTCTTAACATCCTGATAGCAATGAATATCTTAAGTGCTTTGACAAAAAATCCATAAAAAATGTCATCAGTGGAAGCCGTGGCGCTGTAAAAAGCACGACCAATCATCTGAGCCGGCCCGGCTAAAGTAACTGGATGGCCTACCTGCCTGTCAGCCTTCTATCTGGGCACAAACTTATCTCGTGCCCTCATTGGTCATGTGTGTGTTGGAGGAGGAGCTCTGTAAGGAAGTGGCAGATTTTTTCCGGTTGTGTATTTTCAAATTCTAGCGCACTCGAGCTGGTTTCTCCAAATTTACCTACCACACTTTTAAACCATGAGTGAGGTTTTTTGTTCAAAAATATTTCACAGTTCCAGCTTCTTAAATGTGGAGATTTGCTGCAATACAAACAAATATATTATTGGAGTTGAGTACTTTTACTTTTTCAGTACATTTTCCTAATCGTACTTACTTACTTTTACTCACTTTCCATTCTTGATGCATTACTTTAACTTGAACGTGAACATTTTCAAAGTGTGGTATTAGTACTGGTAGTAAAGAATCAAATTATTTTTCCTCCAATTCTACAATATCATCACAAAGTCGATATTGAGACATGTTGTGATATTTGATATACTTCATATTGCTCACCAACCTTTAATCTGAACAGAAAGACAGAATGACAGGACGGCATTTCTGTGAACAAAAAGCTGAAGCTCTGGATAGAGGCATCTGTACACCTGGGTCTTCTTCTTAGAACCAAACAATACTCCGTGCTTTCAGCTGCACCATAGGCGTTGTCTTTGAAATGGGACAAATTAAGATGAATGGATGTTTTTTCTCCCATTCAGAGTCACTATTCAGGGAAGAAATCTGCTTCCGTGCTGGGGATGGGCAGCGAGAATGTGTTCGTGGTGAAATGTGATGAAAGGTGGGTCCAATAGGCTGTTAAAAGTTAATGCTCAACACAAGACTGTTAAATGTTTGCTCACCTGATGCAGCTTTCAGTGTGTGTGTGTGTGTGTGTGTGTGTGTGTGTGTGTGTGTGTGTGTGTGTGTGTGTGTGTGTGTGTGTGTGTGTGTGTGTGTGTGTGTGTAATATATTGCTTTCAATTAACCTAATAGTTATGTGTAATTTGTTCACATAACACATTTTATTAAATTCAACATCTCAAATGTTTCAGTTGTTCTTTCAGTGTACCAAACAACAATACAACATGCGTTTTTATTCCTGTTTTAATAACTGAAAGGTCCCATGTCATGCTTTTCTGGTTATTACCCGTCCCCTTGTTGTTATGTAGCTTTTTCTGCATGTAAACGCTCTGCAGAGTCACAAACCCTCAAAGTACACCCTGTAGCGAGTAAAACTCCAACACAGAAAATACCTGTCTATGCTGCCCCAGAACGCCTCGTTGGAGATTTTTCTTTTTCAGAGTGGGCGAGCTGACCAATCAGAGCACACTGGGCTCAAAGGGAGGGGGGGGGGGGGCATCCTGGGCTTGTGAATACACATACTATACAGAGATGCTGGATGAGAAGCCAATGTGATTTTGAACATTGAACAATGTAAATCTATTCTAGTAGACCTCAACAATGGAATTATGATCAGTAGAAATGGCCATGACATGGGACCTTTAAAATGAGTACATTTATTAAAGTATTTTAGAAGTTATATAGTCACACAGTCCTATGCTGTTTACTGAACCCTTGTCTGCTCTGGCTCTTTTCAGAGGGAAAATGATTCCTGCTGACCTTGAGTCTTCCATTGTTGCAGCTAAAGAAAAGGTAGTATGAATGGAGAAAGATTTAAAAAATAACGAAAGAATGTCCTGTTCAATGGAGAACAATGTGTCCACATTTTCTGTTATCCCACAGTATCATGACATACTTTAATTGGCTTTGGATCAGTGCATCCACATGAAGAGACTGACTTGAGTTCTCTCTCCTCAGGGTTTGGTTCCATTCTATGTGAATGCGACAGCAGGAACCACGGTGTACGGAGCCTTCGATCCTCTCAACGCCATCGCTGACATCTGCCACAAACACACACTGTGGATGCATGTTGATGTAAGGCAGTGGTGGAGGAAGTAGGCTACTCAGATCTTTAGCTCAAACACAAGTAGTGATACCACAGTGTATACATTATTTGTTAGAAGTTAAACCCCTTCATTGTTTTGTATACCAAAACTAATGTAATCATCCTGCAGAAGGATATATATATATATATATATATATATACTACCGTCTCAGAGTGCATGCTACTAGAACACTTAATAATAACAACAGTATAATACCCGTAGAACAGATTAAAGCATGTTTTTTACAGGTTTTTTGTATTGGTTTTTAAGTCAGTTACTAGGACAGTTAAAGGGGACCGATCATGCTATATTTGAAAAATATATTGTAGGGCCATTCCCAGGGCTCGACATTATAAATGGCCCGCTGGCCCGGAAGCACTATTTAGACACTCCGGGCCAGCATAACGTACTTTCCACTTGCCCGCTCGGGCCACTAAAAATATTGCTTTAAAAAAAAGTCCTGTGGTATTTTGACTAGCAATTTAGTTAAATTGTTTCGTTTATCAGCGCTACAACAAAGCGTTCCGTGAGTCGGTTGTCGTTGTTGGAGGAAAAGCAAACAGCTGTTTGCTGAGGAGCTCAGCGCGAGCAGGCTCCCGTGAGCGGGACCGCGCTCCTTCACTACAGACTATCGTGCCACCTAACCATTCGCAAAATGTTTTTAATACCAGCGGTAGCCGGGCAAAAAACAATCTTCAAATAAAAGAAAGTCACCGGAGGAGTTAAAGGAGAGTGACAGGGAGCATGAGAAGAAGAGGGAGTGAAAGTTTCAGCCAGCTTGATCGATGGAGTTGGCTTCTAGTGGTGCAGTGACGCGTCCTAAAACCCTTTTATAATCTATCGATTAGATTTATGATTCGAAAATTATAAAAGTAAGGTAGACATGTGGAGATTATCCGGCTGAACAAAACGTGCATTTGGGACATTCTACAGAAAAGGTGGAAGTGTCACTTACATTTGCAGACACCAAAATACATGACGTTGACCTAATACTCACATTCATTATATATGTTGAATAAATAGAGATTGTCTTTGCAATGGTACTAAATAACAAATAAATAAAAAATGGTTTTATACGTAAATTGCAATTTATTTAAAATGCCAAGTTCAAGGAACTGCCTTGGAAGTGGAGCCTATAGTTTTAATTTAAAAGATTTTTTTTTCAATAAATACATCTAATTTATATTTACATAACATTACAAGCATTACATATAACACTGAAATGGTAAAAAAAAAACGCAAATTATTATTAATAATATCAAATAAATGTCAGTCACCCAAAATTACGTAATTGGTGTTACTGCTACACAAAACGCTTTTATTTTTGAAAAAATGTACTGTCTCTGAAGTGCCTCCTGTACCAAGAGATCATTTGAGGCAGTGCAGTGGGCAAAGACATAAGTCAGATACTTCTTACTTTATTTGTTAAAGGTGTCATTTTATCTTCAAATTTTACATGCGTCTTTCAAGTCTGTCATTAGTGTTACTCATTGCATAGCCCTAGGGGTGAACATTTGAATGGGAAAATGTATTGTATTGAATAGTTAAACGATTTTGATATTGACTGAAGCCATATTTGGTCTGACACATGGCAGCCATTTTGTTAAAATGGTAGTGTTTTCTCCAAATTGTCACTGGTGTTAGCGTCACTGGTGTTACTCTTCTTCCTGGTAACACGTAACACCAGTGACGTTCCTATACAAATAAGCTTTGTATAAAGTATAACAATTATTTAAAAAATAAAAATACTTTAAGCTCTACTTGTTGTGGATTCATCAAGATAAGAGTTAGTTATTGCTATTTAACAGGTTTTAGATGTTTTTAGAAGGAATATATTTCAGCAGATTTGTATCACCCAGATTCCACCTTTTCTGTAGAATGACCCATTTATCAAACAGGTTTGTTTTCCACAGACCTTATTTCCAGCTATTTTCCAAAACCCTGTGGAGAAATCCCATTGCTTTCTGTCGAGGGAACCAGCAGCTTACTTCCTGGTTTTAGGATGCGTCACTGGCTGCACCTCTCAATATGATGCCAATATAAACAAGGTCTTCTGTCGGCTCTGTACATCAATGCCGACCTATGCTGACAAGTAAGTGAAGAGTAGACAATATAAAAGGTATTGGCGAAATGTCCCAGCAGTTTAGGATAATGAAGGTTATAATCTAATCTATAGCCATTACATGTCTAACTCCGAATGACAGGAAGGCAGAAAGTGCATTATACAAATAATAATACTCATAATAATAGCAGAAATGTTTTAACAATGACCACAATATCATTATTTTAATAAACCAAATATGAACAATTGAGGAAAATGAGGAAGAACTAATGATTCAAATGTTGTAGTACAAGTAGTAATGTAGCATAAATTACTACTGCAACAATGTGATCATTTTCTTCATTATTAGTCGATTTTCTTTTTGGTGGACGAACGCTCTGGGCCAGTGGTTAGTACAATGGTGGGGCCAGTGATAATACAATTCCACCGGCCCGGAGGGCCAGTGGCATTTTACCCTTAATGTCTACCCCTGGCCATTCCAATACAAAACATGTCTGTGAAGTTTTTTGCTTAAAATACCAAACAGATCACCCGTTGTAGCCATGCCTCATTCTGCTCATACCCCTCTATTCCAGCCCTGTTCCAAACAGGCTGATTCTGCTTTAAATTGAACGTCTGCTGCTAGCCACGCCCCTTTGTAGCGTCACGCAGCTTTCCCCTGCTAAGAGAGTTTTCTACCGGGAGTAGCTCAGCTAAACGCTGCCGTGATTAAATGCCATACTATGTTCCCAACCACTTCAAGCATTATTTCTGTAACAGTATGGAGCTCAAACGTTTCTCTCACGCACGGTTTACTACAAGGACATTACGTTACACATATTCTCTCCAGTACAGCGTTAGCTCTGAGTGTTAGCATGCTTGCTAATGTAAACACAGACCATATTACTCCCAAAACACACTGCACATTGTTTCTGATACAGCGCATAGCTTGACATGTGCTTTCTTAAGTGTTTACTGCTAGAAAAGTGCCATTATATGTATTATATATAACAACTTTACTCTAAGTGCGAGGAGGACTAGTGTAAGGAGGAGTAGAGATAGGGTTGTATTTTCTGAAACATTGTGAGTTTCCTTACACACCAGTGACACATATTTATGTATAAAAGACATCAAAAAGTGCATTTTGCATAATAGGTCCCCTTTAAGGTAGTGCACTGACTGACCCGTGTTTTGTCGTGGCTGCTCTGCTTTTATGTTTTAATAAATAAAGCTTTCTCATTGGGTGGAGGGTGGGAACGCAGTGTTGCTGAGGAATTTCTTTGATTTTTGCCTGCAGGCGGCGTGGGGTGGAGGCCTGCTGATGTCAGACAGACACAGGATGAAACTTCAGGGCATTGAACGGTAAAACCACACAACCTATCCACTTCACTCAGCATGTCTTTGTTTCCTCCAGGAGTTTCTGTGGAGCAACCACTACAAAGAATATGTGTAGCTCATTGTGGATCCCAGCCTCATCACCTGATTTCCTTTTTATAATAAGATACTGTGTGTGCATGATAAGCATAGCTAAGGTTAGCATCAAATGGTGCAGTGACGATTTATTTGTGTGGGCCAACCAGGAAGTTAGCTTGGCCAGGTCTCCCTTCCATTGGATTTGAGAATATTGCAGAAAACAAGCTCTGTGGCAAATTAACATAACCACTGCTAAGCTAAATGTGGCTAATAATAGACACATTACATTACATTGCATTTAGCTGACGCTTTTATCCAAAGCGACTTACAATAAGTGCGTTCGTCCAACAAAATACAACTTGAAGAAAACAGAATCATATAAGTACATCAGGTTTCATAGAGCTAAAACATTTCAAGTGCTACTCAACTGGCTTTAGAAAAGCCAGTCCTTTATTAGTATAAAAGTGCTTCGTTAATAGTTCTATCGCTCGAAGTGGAGTCGAAAGAGATGAGTTTTCAGTTTGCGCCGGAAGATGTGCAAGCTATCTGCCGTCCTGATGTCAATGGGGAGCTCATTCCACCATCTTGGAGCCAGGACAGCAAACCCACGTGTTTTTGCTGATGGGAACTTGGGTCCCCCTCGCAGCGAGGGCGCAGCGAGTCGTTTGGCTGATGCAGAGCGTAGTGCACGTGCTGGGGTGTACGGTTTAACCATGTCCTGGATGTAGGAAGGGCCAGATCCATTCGCAGCATGGTAAGCAAGTACCAGTGTCTTGAAGTGGATTGTAGCAGTTACCGGAAGCCAGTGAAGGGAGCGGAGGAGCGGAGTGGTGTGGGAGAATTTAGGAAGGTTGAAGACCAGACGAGCCGCTGCATTCTGGATGAGCTGCAGAGGTCGGATGGCACATGCAGGTAGACCAGCCAGGAGGGAGTTGCAGTAGTCTAGGCGTGAGATGACGAGAGCCTGGACCAGAAGCTGAGTCGCTTTCTGAGTTAGCTGGGGACGTATCTTCCTGATGTTGTAAAGCGTGTATCTGTAGCAACGGGTTGTAGCAGCGATGTTTGCAGTGAAGGACAGGTTGTTATCTAGGGTCACACCCAGATTCCTTGCAGTCTGAGTCGGGGAAACAACTGAGGTGCCGATGTTGATTGTTAGGTCAAGAGTGGGACAATCTTTTCCCGGAAGGAAGAGCAGCTCAGTCTTGTCAAGGTTGAGTTTGAGGTGATGAGCAGACATCCACTGAGAGATGTCAGCTAGACAAGCAGAGATGCGTGCGACGACCTGGGTCTCTGAGCGGGGAAAGGACAGAATTAATTGGGTGTCGTCAGCGTAGCAGTGGTAAGAAAAACCATGCGGGCTAATGACTGATCCGAGCGAGTTTGAGTACAGGGAGAAGAGGAGGGGACCAAGAACAGAGCCCTGAGGGACCCCCGTAGTTAATTGACAAGGGTCGGACTCAGACCCTCTCCAAGTCACCCTGTAGGTACGGTCTTTCAGGTATGAGGTGAGGAGGGAAAGTGCAGAGCCTGAAACTCCAAGTTTTTGGAGAGTGCGAAGGAGGATCTGATGATTCACCGTGTCGAATGCAGCAGACAGGTCCAAAAGGATGATGACAGAGGAGAGGGATGCAGTTTTGCCAGTGTGCAGTTCCTCCGTGACAGCAATGAGAGCAGTTTCAGACTTGTTTTAGCAACCACAGCACACACAAGTTATTATGTTTATAAAAGCAATTCACTGTGAAAGGGCACCAACAATAATGCTCAGCCTTGGAGCCTCAGGGGGATAAATGTTTATAGGAGGGGCTAATGAATGTTGACCCAACAACAACAACATGTAGCAACATGTTAGCAACATGTTAGCAACCGCTGTTCCACATAAGCTCTGCACTTTTAGCAGTGGGGTATTTACTGACGTATTTTATGTCGTAGAACAAAACTTTAAAATCGATTTCACTTTATTTAGGAATCTAACCAAAAACACATTTAAAAAAACGTTGCCTTCAGGAGGTTGGAACTGGTAGTGGTAAAATGCTAACCTTTCCCCCGGTTTTGCACAAATAGACTGTATGGTGAGCTTTCTGTAGAGGTGGTTGTTTGTCCCCTCTTGTTGTAATACACTTTGTTTATGCATTTCATTTGTGAAAATGAACATCATTTGGTGTGTTTTCATTGTTTTACAACCTGCATTTCAATAATGTAACTGTAGCATATTAGCCTCACATTGTTGAATCTTGTTTTTCTGTAGCCTACTACTACATGTTGTTGTTGTTGGGTCAACATTCATTAGCCCCTCCTATAAACATTTATCCCCCTGAGGCTCCAAGGCTGAGCATTATTGTTGGTGCCCTTTCACAGTGAATTGCTTTTATAAACATAATAACTTGTGTGTGCTGTGGTTGCTAAAACAAGTCTGATAGTTGGTCCAATTTACATTTGAAGTGATTGTTTTCCAGAGCCTGGTCCGTCACCTGGAATCCTCACAAGATGATGGGTGTCCCTCTGCAGTGCTCCGTCATACTGATCAAGAAGAGGGTAAGACATAATGCTGTACCCTTTAATTGAAGTGTACATAAAACATCACAATCTTTGAGGCTATCAACTGAATGTTTTTAGCCATGCTGACATGGCTTGTTGGTGTGTGTATCTGTCCAAAACTCTCTTCTTCAAAACTATTAGATGCATTGGACATTTGTACAGATATTTAGGATGCCTTCAGAATGAATACTAAGAACCATGGCGCCACTATGAGAGTGAAATTGGTGGTCCAGGGTAAACAATTGGGTTCATTCATCGTCTTTGTCAACTTTGGTGAAATGTTTTATGTAAAATGTCTTAAAAATATATCCTAAACAGCTGGTGTGGCTGTTGACTGTTAATCTTGTTCTGCAAACAGGGTTTTTTTAAAAATACTATTTTGTGTTCCTCCTCAGGGTCTCTTACAGGGGTGTAATGAGATTGGGGCCACTTACCTCTTCCAGACGGACAAACACTACGATGTGAACTACGACACCGGAGATAAGAGCATCCAGTGTGGCCGACATCAGGACGTCTTCAAGCTTTGGCTCATGTGGAAGGCAAAGGTATTCCTGTGCAATACGAGAGTGACTCATGTGAAGACTGCATCTGATTTTCTCTTGATGATGGGGACTTCCTTTTCGATGGGAATCCTTTTCTTTTTGTCCTTATCTTTATTAGATAAAATATGCACAAATGTATTTGAACGATTAGTTGGACAACCAGTGAAGCAGTGATGACGTAGTGTATTTTTCTAAGCTGCTTTACAAGTTAGCATCACAAGGGCTCAAACGACAAAAAGCAATGGGATTCTTTCAATGGGAAAGTTGAAGAAAATAATTATGATTAGTTTTGTTCAGCAGGATAATCTCCACACAGTGGTAGAATAAGTACTTAGATCCTTTACTTAAGTAAAAGTAGTAATCCTTTGGTCTAAAAATACTCCATTACATACCCATTATGCACTGTTTTGAAAGTATTATATTACTATAGAATTTAAAATTCTTATTTTAATTTCTTACAATTACATGTAAGAACATTTAAATGTTGTAGTACGTTAATATTAAGACAATTTTAGATTTATTTTTAATATATTGATAGTAACGTACTGCATTATATCCAATACAAATGTCCTGTGTTGTATATGTGAACAGTAGCTGGTAACTATAAGTGGTAATTAAATGTAGTGGAGTCAAAAGTACAACAAATGTTCCAAAATGTAAGGGAGAAGAAGTATATAGTAGCATTAAATGGACAAGTAAAGTACCACAAGTAAAGTACTTAAGTATAGTGCTTGAGTAAGTGTACTTAGTTTCTTCCCACCACTGCTGCCCCATGTTAACACCACTTTGTGATATTTGAAGCATAAATGCAATTGACAAAATTAGGGATAGTTAAAGGTTCCATGTCATGGCCATTTCTACTGATCATAAATCCATTGTTGAGGTCTACTAAATACATTTACATTGTTCAACGTTCCAAAATCATATTGGTTTCTCATACAGCATCTCTGTATAGTATATTCACTCTCTGTCCTAAACGCTTGTTGGAGCTCCTGCCCCCCCCCCCCCCCCCTCCCTGTGAGCCCAGTGGCCGTCTGCGAGACAGCGAGACACAGCGAAACCCAGCCCGAACACACACACACACCCGCAGCCTGGCTGGGAGTTTGTGTGTGTGCCCAGGCTGAGTTCCGCGGTGTCACCAGTGAGCCAGCTCACGGTGTCCCGCTCCTCGCAGCAGCGAGCCTCGCAACGTCCCGCCGAGTGTGTGTGTGTGACGAAGTCCGCGGATTGGTCCAAATGTTACGGCTCCGCGGACGTAACGTCACTATACCCGAAATACGTCACTATACCCAAGAAGTAAACATTGGAATAAGAGAAATGTCCAACGAGGCGTTCTGGGGCAGCACAGACAGGTCTTCTCTGTGTTAGAGTTTTACTCGCTACAGGGTGTACATTGAGGGTTTGTGACTCTGCAGACCGTTTACATGCAGAAAAACCTTCATAACACAAGGGGACGGGTGATAACCAGAAAAGCATGACATGGGACCTTTAAGTAAGGATATAAACAGACGTCACCAACGCTAAGCTAAAGGTGGCTAATATGTGGCGTGATGACTTTTACCAGTGTCTTTTAGTCACTTGTTAGCATCACTGTTTATAGTGATTCTACACCCACTGTAGAAGCTTCAGACATTCACCAGTGGGGATTCACTGACATATTTCATATAGAATAAAACGAGAGACAACTCCATTCAGTACCAGAGAGACAACGAGCTATACATTTTCATTGGATGATTCTGTACTGTGAAGTTTTACTGTGAGCATTGACTGATATAGAGAAATGCAGTTTGGTGTGTCTGTGTCCCCTGGGTGACATAACACTTTCATTCATTATTTTGCGTGCTTGTTAATTTTAAATCTTTTTAAAACACTTTGATAAGATGACTACTGCTGTTTAACTTTCTATGTCGCTGTCTGTGTCTCTCACTCGCTCAGGGCTCCCAGGGATTTGGATCTCAGGTCAACAAATGCTTAGAGAATGCAGAATATCTGTACGAGCAGCTGCAGAGGAGGACTGACTTTGAACTGGTCTTCAAACACAAAGTAAGGCTGTTTTTTTATGTGGTAATGAAATATATTCATCTAATGAGTTTTTGTACAGGAAACATTCACAATTTCGGTTGCCAAATGTGTCAGTTTTAAAATACATCAAGACATCTGATTTTAAGCCAGGATTTCAATTCTAGGTTACATACACTAATTGTTTTGCCAGGCTTTAGATTCAGACAACTATCGTAGACAGATACATTTTCTGTTGCATTTAAATCTCCTGCACTTACCATCCAAAGAATATTGCCAGGCATTATTGTGTTTTTGGTTGGTCCTTTGAAATAGGGAGTACCTTCAGTGCTAATACTAATATCCCCAAGATGCACTACTGACAGCAAAAACAAGTTGTTGCTGCCTGTAGCCATCAAACCATTTAAAGAGGCCCTATTTTGCTTTTTGCGGTTTTCCCTTTCCTGTAATATTCTGTAGGTTTCGGTGCATCTTGGTCTGCCAAGGCTAACAGGCAATAGGAGAAGAGAGCTTTTTGAACCATAAACCATTGAAACATGTCACAGTAGAGACACAAAATACACAGATGAACCTGAAAATGAGCATAAAATGGCCCTTTAACTCTGATTGCAGTCACTAGGATTTACTTCACTATAAGCAGCATCCCTTGTAAACTCTTCACTTCAGCTTTAATTATCCAATTATGAATACTAATTCACCACTTTATATATTGTTACATACATGTTATATATTGTATTACAATGTGCACGTTTGAACTTTGACTTCTTATGTTTTTAAAAGTATTTGTATTTGATTTTGTATTAGACATTTCACTTCAAATTGTTATGTGATATATTTTATTCATTTAATTTGATTTCGTACTGTACATACACAAACTTATTTTGAAATCCATATTTTTTAATGTATCTTTCATGTATTGCATCCTAACAAAACCCCAATTCTCCTGAGACATTTAGAATATTCTAATTCAAATTTTGAAGAAGATTTATCCCTGTAAATCCCCTCTCAACTCTCACTGGATATCTGCTCTCCTCTCTGACAGCCGGAGCACAGTAACGTGTGTTTCTGGTACCTCCCCCCCAGCCTGAGGGGCCTGCAGCCTGGCCCTGACAGAGACATGAGGCTCCATCAGGTCAGTACAGGAGCCCAGCGGCCCCTCCCTCAGTAAGGATCAGGCCCCACTGCTTCCTTTTATGATTTCAAAATGCTTCATACGTCTCTGCAGGTGGCTCCTCTGATCAAAGGCAGGATGATGGAGAAGGGCTCTCTTCTGATTGGCTATCAGCCGTTGGGTGACAAAGTCAACTTCTTCAGGTGTGTGTTCTCCAACCCGGCCACACAACGGGAGGACATCGACTTCCTGCTGGAGGAGATCGCCCAGTTGGGAGAAGATTTATGATCTGTGACGTGATTATTGGATCAGCATTTCTCTCCGGTTTTCATTTTGAAGGAAATGAGTGCACCATTGTTTTACTGTGCCATTCACATTGCATCCACACTTTCTATAAGCCTTTCTACTTTTGGTGTTCTTACAGCGTTAAAGTGAGGAGGTTTGAAACTGTACACTATTTATTCAAATAGATTTTCTTTATGGATATTTTAAGGTAGCTTCTAGCTTCATGTCGAACACTGACAGTAAGTCAACATTTTCCAGAGGATTTTTTTAAATCACCAGGTAACGCTAAAAAGATAACATTTATATTGTATGACAAAGTGTTAATTTAATATCCCTGGTTAGCTATAGCTACTTGCTAACGGTTTAGCTTACCCGTGCGATTCAAAGTAACGTCAACGTAGCTGTAATTTATGCTTTGCTTACATGAAAAAATAAATAATAATAATTCCTTTTACTTGGAAGTTTACTGACATTTACATACCTTGTTTACCTGGCGCAAGTGGGGGCTCTGGGGTTGTTGTATGAGCCACCTGTCAGCCAATAAGACACGTTTATTTCCATGCAACTCTCTGGTGATTGGTCTGGTGTCTTGCCTCTGTTGCATTCACTGAACTGAAAAAATGCAGAGGTGGAATAAGTATAGCATTCAAAGTTGAACTTAAGTAGAAGAACAAAAGTATTAGCACCAACTTATACTTTAAGTACCAAAAGCAAAGTACTCATCATGCAGTTTGGCACAAATAAGAACCATATAGTTTATTATTCATGTATTAATGTGTTCATAATTTAATGTTGCACTTAAATGGTAAAAGTGGGGTTAATGGTAATGATGTTATACACACTGGCTTATCTTAAAGGTGGGGTAGGTAAGTTTGAGAAACCGGCTCGAGATACACTTGTTATATTCCATGGAATGCTCTTAACATCCGATAGCAATGAATATCTTAAGTGCTTTGACAAAAAATCCATAAAAAAATGTCATCTGTGGAAGCCGTAATACTGTAAAAAGTCTAAAATCCGTTTAGCCGGGTCGGCTAAACGGATTGGATTGCCGCCCTGTCTGTCAGCCTTCCATCTCGTGCACGCACAAATGTATCTCGTGCCCTCATTGGGCGTGCCGTCATTGGGCGTGCATTGCAGCAGTACTTCAATGACTCGCCAGCAACAGGCGGCCACTTTCACCAGTCTGCTGACGTCATGTGCGCGTTCATGTGTGTTGGAGGAGGTGCTCTGTAAGGAAGTCTGAAGGAAGGGGCGGATTCTTTTCGGCTGTGTACTTTCAAATTGTAGTGCACTCGAGCCGGTTTCTGAAACTTACCTACCCCACCTTTAACTATCTTAACTTATGATAATGTATTAGCTAATTTATATTTTGTATTATAATCCAACTATGCAAATCAAATAGTTACAAAATTTGAAATAAATGTGAGTAAAACATTTGCCTACAAAATGTAGTGGAGTAAAAGTATAAAGTAGTAGAACATTCTAAAATACAGTACTCATTGTATATTTTTGTATAATGACAATAAAGGCTTTCTATTCTATTCTCTCATTTTATTTTCAGTACAGCACTTGTGTAAATTGTGTTGGTGAGATTCCACCTAATGGCAAAATGAAGGTCATATCAGTGATCCCCACTACATCTGTATACATGTCACATTGAGATGTATATTAAAATAGGCCTACAATAAAGTGTAGGGAGGCCCATGTTAAAACAAACATTAATGTTGCATACAATATCAAGCTACAGTTGCAAAGAGATCAAACACATGCTAGTGTCATGGCAGATTCCTTATTACAGCGCGTTTCTCGCTTATTTATTAAGGTAACACAGGTCAGAGAGGCTCCATTGCCTCTTCCGCAATTATCAGCAGATGTACCCACGTTAAGTACATTTACCCAATGTCAGAGGAAGTACAAAGGCGCTGATTAGATTATAATAGTTTGTTAGTTAATGTAAGGAACATTATGTGGTCATGTCCAAACATATATATAGTTTGTTCGTTGGATAATTCATATCCTGCAAGACTCCTAAAGACGTCATGAATATTAACATATCTATCTCTGCCACGTATGTTTCAAGTGTATGTTCGTGTGTGTTTTACGTGTATAAACCACAAGAGATCTTTCTAGTCTGGGGGGCATTTCCACAATTGGCTGCTGTGGCAGAAGGTGAGGTACTCCAATATTATTATTGTTGTTGCGCAACTGAATAATGATTCATCTCAACCATATCTGTGTTTGTATTTTATTGATCTCTCCGTTTTAACATTTAAAGTTGGTGAGCCATAAATTGCACTAACATTAGCATGAGGATTCATTGGGAACCGTGAGAATATCACATATAACGTATAAATAGACAGATTTATCTTTTGAAAGATAGGGCCAGTCCTCCTTTATTGACATATGCATTCTGGGTAGAGTAACTACAATTGACCAGAGTACACTAAGCACTATAGGCTACATCAGGGGTGCCCAACCAGTCAATCGCGATCGACCGGTCGATCGCGGGAAGATTCCAAGTCGATCACGAGATGTGTCTAAAAATAGAACAATATTCTGTTTTATCGTTAATGTCCTATAACATAATCTTCCCGTGCCAGAATAATGCACATGAACGCACCAAAGCTTTGTGATTGGCCGGCGTGACCCCATGTGTCGGGGCGTGGCTGGTGGGCAGTGGGCACTATTTCGCTGACATTGTCCGTGTCAACCATAGGTGTCAACAGGAGTGACAGTCTGCACACAATTATGCAGCAATTATGGCAGAAGCAAAAAAGCCCAAAATATATAATTTTCACTCCGAGTGGGAGGATGATTATTTTTGTATCTATTCCAATTCAAAGTACATCTGTCTCATCTGCAATGCGAGCGTGGCTTTATCGAAGAAGGGTAATTTAGGAGCGGCATTTCAAAACAGTGCACAAATGCTACGAGATGGAATTCCCTCCTAATTCTGCCCTACGCTCCAAAAGGGGAGGGGCCTGAAAGGACAGCTAAATGCACAGCAGTCCATTTTCACCAGGCCCAACAACAAGAGCAAGGCTGCTACCAGAGCATCTTATCGGGTCTGTCACGTTCTTGCGAAACACATGAAGTCTTTCAAAGACGGCGAAGTTGTGAAAGAAGCATTCCTGGAGGCTGCCGACGCGCTTTTGGGGACAGTAAAAACAGAAGCATTTCTACAGGTTTTTGATATAATAAAAACTCAAGTTAGATACCGTTATTAATCAGATTTAAGTTTTAGTTTGTTTGAACTTATTCATTTTAATTATTGTACAAAATGGTATAAGAATGCAAACTTAAATTGATTATAGTCTATTATCAATTCAGGTTAAGAAACTAGTGTTGCTTGCATCCTATTTTAAAGGCATTTCTTTTTATAATCTACTAAAATGCTACAAAAAAGGGTTTGATTCTATTCATGTTGTCTTTTTTATTGCACTTTGGCAGCAGATTCCTGAGTAGCTTCAGATCCGAGTTGTCTTATTAGTAAGCCTCATTTTAATGGCAAAGAAAGGGTTCAGAGTATTTTCTTTTTCCCTGAGTCATGTGGCAGCACTGTTCAATGTTTCTTGAAAACATTACCCACTGTAGTGACGTGTGAATAAACTCCAACTCTGTATCAACAACACTGCTGTGTAACTTCAGTTAAATACTTGTGTAGATTAGAAAGAGGTAAGATAAAGGATCTGCAGTATTTTATGAAGTATTAATCGTGCAAAGGTCAGTTTTATACAAGTAGAAGTGTGTATTTATACCTGGTAGTAGGCTTTCAGTAATGGCTTCGCCTCTCTATTTGGACTGGTAGATCTCGGTAGACTGGCAACTTTAAAAGTAGCTCTCGGTTCAAAAAAGGTTGGGCACCCCTGGGCTACATAAATAAAGATAACCTTCCACTTAAACGGGAGAATAAAAAACAGACAAACACAAGTGTATAAACAATAAAAGCCCCATTGGAGCGGCAGCCACACTCCTTACAGTCTGGGCCCCCAGGGGTCTCGTTTGTCCAAACCTGCCTGGTTTTATTCCACTCTGAATGTGTAGCTAGCGCCCTGAGGTGTGAGCATGATTCCTAACCGACATGTTCCCAGGGAATCCCAAAAGTTTAGATACCTTAAACTGAGTTTGGAAAAAACAAATGGGAGAGACAGTGAACATTAAAATATGAAAAACATTTATTGAAAAATATGACATTACATTTGTAATTATAAATACATTTTAATATTACATTTGTTTAAAAACAAGAGTTGTTGAAGAGAATGCAGTGCTCAGTACGGTGGATTACGTCCATTTCCACCTGGAAGAAGAAACGCATGTTATTAGGCCAAAGGAAGTCCGATTTGTCACCAATACATCATGCAAGTCAGTTGGTCCAAGGTCAGGAAATAGATTTTGCACACAAGTCATAATGCCAAGTGATAAGATTTATTTTGTTCTCAATTGAAAGAATACATACAGCAACACCTCTAATTCATTTTTTCCTTCAACACATGGTACAGGTGGAGGGGTTAAGTTGCCCTTGACTGCCAACGAAAGCTTTATTTGCGCCCTCTGGTGGAAAGAATTAGGATGTGGCCATAATGCCGACTCCAAAATTGATTCAAATGGTAGAGTTTTAATATATTAACAATTTGGCAGGAGACAAAGGCAAGTGTAATCCCCAATTTAAAGTTTAAAAGAGGTAATCAGATTACTGGTAAAAAAAAATATATATATATTTGGACAACAATATATTTTAGAATAAATATATTAGAGATAGAGGTACTGCCTGCAATTTGATAATATTATTTTTACATTTCTCACCTTGGTGTTTCCCAGGTTTGCCATAGTATCCACTGTAGGCCTCATGCTGGCTGCCGCCTGTAAAAAAAAAGAGACATTTTAAAAAAGGGCCTGAAAATGTGTCCAATCAGCTTTGTGTCCTACATCACACCATGTTCTGCTCAAATCTGAACAGTTGTTGGGACTACCATTAACATGTTGATTTGTTTGGTAAACAAAATAATGTAATACTGGGTCAATTAATGTTGTCAAGCCAACAGTCCTGAATTTAAAAGTTAAAGCTGAAAATTCTGTTTTGCAGATTTTCTGGGTTAGTTTCAGAAAAACTCTTTGACTTTTATCAATACAAAATTAGACCCCAAGCCTGTATTGCAGGTCTCAGGCTCGAAAATGACATTTCCAGAACGAATGATCATAATTACACTTCTAAAAAGGGGAAAATTAATAATCTTTTTTCTCAAAGTAATGATAAACCTGTGAGTTGGATGTAGAAAAGTCAGAATCAATATAGATGTTTTTTTATTTTAAAGAAAATTCAGATTGAACACAGTACAAAACTGTAAATTATAGTGTCCGTCCAACATTTTTTTTACTTATAAGTGAAAACTACCCTTGGATGATGAGTTAGTACTAAAACCTTTAGGAATCCAAAGTACTACATATAATAAGTACCCTGTATCAAGATTGCTGCAAAACAAGTGACATTTGACCTTTTTAGAGATGTTTAGCAAAAAAAACTCAACCTCTGGGGTGATTTGGGTGGACATGGGCGTTTTTGCCGTTTCTATGGAACCCATTGGTCGATTTTGGTGATTGACATCTCTTTTAAACCGTTGGGGCCAATATAATCGAAGGGGAATTCCCACATACACACCAACGTTACCAAATAAAAAGTGGGGGCTTCGCGCATGCTGTTTGCCATAAACCGAAACCTCTCTCACGCTCTGAAATATAGGTTTATTGCTGATGGATTATCAAAAATAATTTCAAAGTGACACAGACACATTGGATTAACCCAGTGGTTCTCAAACTTTTTCTGTCAGGCCCCCCCTTTGGAGAAAAAAAAAAGTCGGGTCCCCCCCAACACAAATAGTCAGGCTCAGTGGCGGCGCGAAAGATTTATTTTGGGGGTACTGTGGGGTAGCTTGACGTTTCATACAGGGTGCTCAAACATTTAGGGTTTCCCATTAATGTACCGGGCACTACAGTGGAATGTTCTACTGCAACACTCCCCACGCAAATACACAGTGTACCCGCAACTGTTGCAATGAAGGCTCGATATCAGCTCATGGCATATAGGTGTAAGCAGGGGTAAAGTGCTATTTTTATAGGTGGTGTGTGGACCGCACATAGGGGGGTCCGGGGGCAAGCTCCCCCGGGAAGATTTATTTTTAAATATTGAAGTTAAAAGCATCAATCTGGTGCACTTTGAGAGCAAAATGAAGAGATCTACAGTATGGATACATCTCTCAACACAGAACTGTAAACAGATTTACTATTTCTTTATGGATATTTTACAAATCACTCCCCTTTTAAACGTTATACATTTTGTAATGTCATATAGTATTTCATAATTTATTTATATTAATGGTGACCAAAACGTTTGAGACCCACTGAGATAACACTGAGAGTCCTTTAGCTCACTGAGTCTCTCAGTCTGACAGGAGTGGACTCTCCTCCACTTTGTTGTTGAAAAAACTCCTTATATCCGTTAGCGTAGCTCGCTAGCACCAGAAGCTAACATCAACGATCTCCGGTACGCTCTCTCTCTCGCGCAAACACACAAAATGGCTCGTTCCACACACACACACAGAGCCGAGCTTTAATGAAACACAGACGTAATAGTACTGTAGTGTATCATATTATTTTCGAATCAATACTTTTTCAAAATATGATTTAAAAAAAAAATCTTTTTAATTTTTTTTTTTTTTTTAATAACCATTTTTTCTCCTGGTCTCTCGCCCCCCCTGTCATGCCTCTGCGCCCCCCACTTTGAGAACCACTGGATTAACCTATGGATTAACTTCAGCAGCGTTTTTATCGTTTTAATGCCATTGAAGACCACTTTTGACCAGACAACAACGAAGGTGAGACAATATTGCCGTTTTTGCTGCTTGGATGTGCAGTTACGATAAGTAAGTGTTATACCGTGTTTTCTGTGCACACGCCGTTAGCATTTTTTCGCTGGTGGCTAATTCAGAGGCTCAGCGTTAGTTTTGTGGGGTTTTTTGCAAAAAAGAAAAAAAAAAGATCAGTTAGCTGAGTTTCTTCCCGTTACATGGATATGAAACATTCATTGTTTATTAAATCTTAAGAAGCCCTCGGACACTGTTGCTTGCAGATGTTGTGGTTTCGGCCCCTTCGGCTGGTCCGTGGGGTTTAGAGGTTCAAGAACGCGTCCAAAGCCCTGCATTACTTTACGTTGGGATGGATGATTAAACTCTTTCATGCGTTTCTTTTCCGATGCTGTTCAATCAACAGAACATTCTATGGTTAAAAAAATAATGGCTGACATTTCCTAAAATGGGCAGGGTCCAGAATCACACAGAAAGTGTCAACATTTTAGACGAGTCATTTGAGTCCAGTTCAGTGTTTTCCAACCTGAAGATGCTGTATTGGCTAAATCAATTTTTAGACACCTTACCTTGACCCCTGGGCTTCCTGTAGCCTTGTTTCCTCTGGTTCTTCTGGGTTTGTCCCCTCATGATTGGTCCTTCTCCTTGTCTATAGTTCCCATTCTTATTTTCTACAAGACAAGCAAGCTAGTTACAGCACCATGGTCATTTTCAGGATCATTTAATTATGGTCAAATCAAAAAGAAGATCACCAGAATATGTAAAAGGCTGATTCCCGTTTGGTCCCATGCTGCACCTTCTTTCTTCACAGGCACACTTGTGCTCCTGGAACTCATTACACTGGACTCCAAAGTCCACCTTCGATGGAGACACTTCTGCCGTCTTCTGATCAGCCATCGGGACGCCCAGCTGCTCTTTTCCAAGCAGACTAACTTCTTCGTTCCCAAGTGCTCCATCTTCCACCTCGATGCCCGCTCCATTTTGTAGATTCAGCTTTCTTGCGCACGTCTTCCCAATAGAGTTCAAGTTCAGACTCTCTTCCTGCTGAGGAGGGCTGGTTCTTTTCTCCTGCAGCTGCTTATTTAAAATGTCCTGGTTTGGGCTTCGATTAGCCTCAGGTTCAGAAGACCTATTTTTGTCCTCTTTAGTGGGGGAAGATTTGACAATGGGGTTGTCGTTCTCGGCTTGCTCCACGATCACATCGGCTGCCAACAGGTCGTCACGCTGTAACCACTCCTTGGTGGGGATGAAGGGGGCCAGAGACTCCACGGACCAAATGGACTCGTTCCAGGTTCTCTTCAGGTAGGAGCTATTATTTATAGAGGGAATGATTTGTGTAATGTCTTCAAGCGGATTTGTCTCGATGCTATATTCTTGCTCATTGTCAGGGAGCTTATGGGATGAGGATTGTAGGAGTTCATCTGCGTCTGGAAGACAATCTTGTTGTGAGGAGCTACACACAGGAACCATACCATCTTGAGAGTCAACAGACCACACGTTACAATGAGCGTTCCTGCATGGGGCAACATTCTCCTGACCCACACTCTCTTTTTGGCTCTTCTCAGTGTCCAGGGTTGCTCGGATACATGACTGGATGGCTGTCGTTCCTGTAGGTCGGAGGACGTTAAAGCCATGTTTGTTACTGGTCTCTTTAACCGGGAGGTCTTTTTCATTACTGTTGTGTAACGCGTCCTTCTCAACTTCAGCAGAGTTTTGTTTTTGGGAGCTTGAGCTCGAGGACGAAGGAGAGTTTATTGCGGTTCCACTACCCGAATCTGCACTGATGAGTGGGCTTTTCCTCACTGAAAACCTCTTCCTCTCTGTTGGGGTTCTGTTTGGACCGCAGAGTTCACGGTTTCTCTAACTGGGTCGGTATGATGTGGGTGGACTCTACAGGGCTGGTATGGGTTCTGATACGCTACGCTAGGAGCCTGGGTCTGGGGGTGGATGAAACGTCTGTAGTCGACCGGTTGCATGTCAGGGCGGGGCATGATGTATGCTGGAACCTCCATATAGGGATTGGGAGGAGGGAACGGGGGCATCCCCATACCATAGCCTGAAAAGTAGAAACGGTTAATCGGAGATGGACATTCAAGTTCAGTGAGCAGCACCTTCAAATTTCAATATCCGCGTTTACATTTCTGTCATAGAAAAGTTAAAGCAAAGTTTCATACATACAGTATAAGACCATTGTGTTTGACAGTGATGTCCAGTAACCAAGAACATGTCATCAAGCACAATTTTGAGATACTCGTACTTTAATTGAGCATTTACATTTCTGCTACTTTGTATTTTTACTCAACTTTTATTTAAACAGTTACTCAATACCTTTAGTTACTTCACAGATGTGGATGAATGATGTGAAATATAATCAAGTCTTAGATCAGACTTTAGTTCCACCTGGAGTAAATCCACCAGCTACCCTGCAGTATACAAAGTCATTCAAACTAGCTGCACCTTTACCAGCTTTGAGAACACTTTCATGATCAATCATTATAAAACATATCATATATATATTATTCTGAAATGGACCAATCTGCACAACGACTACTTTTACTGTCGCGACTTCAACTATATTTTGATGAGAGTACATTTACTGTAACAGAGTATTCCTACACTCTGGTACTTTTACTCAAGTACAAGATCTGAGTACTGCTTCCATCTCTGGTGTTGGATAATAAATGTTGTAGTGTTCATGTTATTGTGTCCATCACTTGCATCAAACTAACTGAACCCAGTCTTTGGCTTTCACCTAAAATATAGAACAAAATGAATTTTTAAATGTTTCCAGCAAAATGTAAAAACTCAAGACTCACCCATTCCTGGGAAGCCAGCAAAGGGGTTATAGGAGAAGGGCATGGGCCACTGGGAGGGGTGGAAAGGGGGTGGGGGTGGAGCATGGACGTAGAAGACAGGCCGGCCAGGGAGGTGGTGTTGGGGGTGGTGTTGGGGGTGGGGGGGGGGTGGTGCTCGGGGGTCTTGGCAGGGGGTGTATAGTCCTGGATCATGCTGATCAGAGGACGGTACATCACTGTTAGCCCGAGTGTTTCCATGCACTCTGCTTGGATGAGCTGACGGAGGTTTGTTCACAGCTTTCGTCGCCATATTGGACCTGCAGAGGAGGAGGATCCGTCAGGTGTGGATCCACAGCAATAATTCTAAAGAACTGTAGATCTGAGCAAACATTACACAAACAGGATGACACTTTTTGGGAGTATTTTGTTTTTGGGATAAAATGTACTAGAGTATTTGGACCAAATTCAGTGCATTTTTACAATGTTAAGAATGTTTTAAAATATGCACTGCTCAAGAAAGGGGGAACAAATAACCACTGCAGATAAGACATTCACACCTAGCTACCTCTCAAGCATTGCTAATGAGGGCATTTCAGTTATGTTTCTCACTTTGGTCTGTCTTTGTTGCAGTGGCTAGAGCCCTGCATCTACACATGAATATTAGACATTTAGATTCTTAAATATTATATTCAATTGTTTGCCACCAGAGTTTTAATGTTCATACACCAAGCATGTTAGGGTGAAATAAGTCGTGTTGATGTGTGGTTCTGAACCCTTTAGACCTCTCCTCACACTCTGTACCAAAAGTGACTTGCAACACCAAAACATATATTTGAAAAGCTTGAAGCTCTGATCTCAAATGTGGAACAAAAGTAAATAAAGCCAATGAATACAAATGGAACACACTAGATCAGCGGTTTTCAAAGTGAGAGGCTCGCCTCCCCTCGGGGGCACCAGAGAGCTTCAAGGGAGGCGCAGCGTGAGAAAAAAATAGCGAGAAACAGTGAAATCTAGCAAGTTAACTTCACCTAACTTAATGCGAGCGGCAACATGGATCGATTTTTAGTGAAGTTACCAAAAGTGAAAGAGGAGACAGTGTCTGGCAGAAAACTTCAGCTTTGTTTTGAAATAAAAGTTATGGCTCATCGGACATTTATGAGAGAAAATCCCTAATGTCCGAGTGCAAGTGAATGCAGCACAAGACGCGAGCCTTGTAACCCCTCCCTGGCGCGAGCGAGGAAATATGATTGGCGGCGTTTTCATTTGAACGGGACGGCGCATTTGGACCCCAAGTAGACGGAAGGAATGAGGTATTTGCGGTTTACAATGACAGAGAAGAGACTTTCAAGTTTGGCTGTACTCAGCATTGAATCAAAACGCACTAAAGCTTTAGATCTTAATACGTTTGTGAGCCGTTTTGCTGAACAAGACGGTAATCGCCACATTCAGCTGTAGGCATGCCAACTTGATGTTCTGCTCACGGATGACTCGATGAGCATAAACAACTGTTAAGATGATGACCTTACGTGTGTAAATATATTTTTTTCTTTGTGGGGGGCCTTCCCCCAAAAAACTGTTTGAAGTCCTGAGAAAGTCAAATAAGACGGTGTGTAGAAACTACACTGCCCAGCCAAAAAAAGTAACCACTTTGATTTAACTAGGCCAGTAGGTAAGGGCATTAAACTGGATAATAATACCCCCTGCATTATAGCAACACTAATAATAATAATAGCAATAATAATTGGGAGGGGGGGCGCGGCTGTTCTTATGTTCTCTGAGGTGAGGCTCACCTGCCCACACTTTGAAAACCCCTGCACTAGATAATATTGAACGAAAAACCCCAAAATGAATCGTCAAACAGTTGGAAACATTAAAGTAAAAGGGCATGGCGAAATCTGAACACAACCAAAGAACTGTTTACAGTATAGAAACCCCAATGTGTCAGGGAGAAGAAAATACTGAATTCATCAAAAAGAATGACAGCCTAAGTACCCAGATTTTGAATCAGAAAGCTCCTGCCAACACTCCAAAAAATGATGCTTCCAAATCTTTCCAAAGCATTTGCTATGTTGTCTGTTATGAAGGAAATGTTGAGTCACTTTACCTGGTTGAGGACTTGATATGTCGGAGCCACACACAAAGGGATTAAACGTGAGACTCACACACCTGAGTTTAAGTAGCTGCTGATCAGCCAAGTGTGTTCACCATCAGCTGATGGAGCACCTAATCAAACACTCAGATTCAGATGTCATGCAGCCATTGGGACACTAGAGGGAGCCAAACAGTTACACACATGTTCCAGGCCATGCACAGTTCTACACAACCTCTCTGAAATGTACCTACAAACATAGTTACCGTTGAAAACTTGAATGTAAAATAAGAGTATGAATTCTTGTTACTTATTTCTGCATATTTAGTTAATGATAATCCTCTAATGTTTGGTTAACTGATATTTTCATTAACACTCTGCCCTGAAATATAATCTCTTCATAAACAAACATTAATATTTATCCAGTTGTATTCGTTAACGGACAATTGTTCCATTTAAGATTTTAAAAAAGTGAAAGGTAAAAACAAAAAATAATAAAATATTTGTATAAAATAAAGAGTTGAAGTAAGAATTTTGAATTAATTAAAAATATATATTTTAATGATAGTAATTTTAATGATAGTAAATAATAGTCCACAAAACACATTCATTCCATTTAAAAACAGTCTCTTTAATATACGTTTCATCAGGTAACGTCATGTCAAATGTAGAATACATAATCGTTTTGTAACACCCACCCTCCACCTATAAAGCTTCAGATAATTTAGATTTACATGATATGAAAATGGCTATATATAAAGCACTTAAATATTTGATAAGGAACAACAATAAGGGAACATTTAAGGGGCAACGTGCCGCTCCAGTGATAAGCAGTGATTTCCAACATGGGGGGTCGGGTCCCCAAACTGGTTGCATTATGATGACGTTGGAGGGGCTTTGAGATTACATTACATTACATTGCATTTAGCTGACGCTTTTATCCAAAGCGACTTACAATAAGTGCATTCGACCAACAAGATACACATTTGAAGAAAACAGAATCATATAAGTACATCAGGTTTCATAGAGCCAAAACATTTCAAGTGCTACTCAACTGGCTTTAGATAAGCCAGTCCTTTGTTAGTATATAAGTGCTTTGTTAGCAATTCTTTGTTAGTAATTCTATCGCTCGAAGTGGAGTCGAAAGAGATGAGTTTTCAGTCTGCGCCGGAAGGTGTGTAAGCTATCTGCTATCCTGATTTCAATGGGGAGCTCATTCCACCATTTTGGAGCCAGGATAGCAAACCGACGTGTTTTTGCTGATGGGAACTTGTTCCCCATCGCAGTGCTGGTGCAGCGAGCCATTTGGCTGATGCAGAGCGTAGTGCACGCGCTGGGGTGTACAGTTTAACCATGTCCTGGATGTAGGAAGGGCCAGATCCATTCGCAGCGTGGTACGCAAGTACCAGTGTCTTGAAGTGGATTCTAGCAGTTACTGGAAGCCAGTGAAGGGAGCGGAGGAGCGGTGTGGTGTGAGAAAATGTTGGAAGGTTGAAGACCAGACGAGCCGCTGCATTCTGGATGAGCTGCAGAGGTCGGATGGCACATGCAGGTAGACCAGCCAGGAGGGAGTTGCAGTAGTCTAGGCGTGAGATGACGAGAGCATGGACCAGAAGTTGCGTCGCTTTCTGTGTCAGCTGGGGACGTATCTTCCTGATGTTGTAAAGCGTGTATCTGCAGCAGCGGGTTGTAGCAGCGATGTTTGCAGTAAAGGACAGTTTGCTATCTAGGGTCACACCCAGATTCCTTGCAGTCTGAGTCGGGGAAACAACTGAGGTGCCAATGTTGATTGTTAGGTCAAGAGTGGGACAATCTTTTCCCGGAAGGAAAAGCAGCTCAGTCTTGTCAA